CGATGTCACAGGCAGAAGCTTAACCTACTGTGCCATAGCACCAGCCCCAAGAACTGTCTTATACATAATGTTCCACATTATGACTGCATTTTCTTTATCCAGTTGGCAGGGGATCAATACCTGAGTTGTTTCCTTTTAGCCATTGTGAATGAACTACTAGGAACATTCTGTTTAAATACTAAGCTTTTACACCTCCAGGGTATACGTTAGGAGTGCAGCTACTAAGTCACATGGTAATTCTATGTTTAGCTCTCTGAGGAACCTCTTGCATTTTAATCTCTGGCTTTTAGAACTTTCTTCCCTTGTACACATTTCCCCTCTACACGACCTGCTATGCCCCAGAATCCTCCCTGCTCTCCCAGGACATCAAGCCTACGACCCAGTGGTCAAGCAGATACCAAAGGGCCCAGTCTGATGCCTGGGCCACTCCGTTTTCTCGCTTTCTCTGATTCTGCTAAGGCAGGTAAGGCTGGGAACAAGGCCTTGGGGTCACAGAGGGAAGTCTCCCCAAAAGAAAGTCGGGAGGCACCATCTGCAAAGGTTTGATTTCGCAATTCAGATCAACCACCAGGGACACAATAAGGATGTGTTTTAAACCCAAGCTGAAAATATTTCCAGTAGATGTCCAGGAATTCCAGTAATTATGGTTTTCTTTAAACCGTCAGTAGCAGAGAACATCAGATGGTGTGTCATTCTTAGCAAAATCGTTATAGGGAAACATCTACGCATTCCAAGGTAAAAATGACCTTAGCTGTATTTTTTTTAAGATTTATTTTTATTTGAAGGGCAGATTTACAGAGAGGAGAAGAGAGATAAAAAGAGAGAGCGAGAGAGAGAGAGAGAGAGATGTTCCATCTGCTAGTTCACACCCTCAGGACCCCCTCGGGGTCTCTCACATAGATACAAGTGCCCACGATCTTAGGCCATCCTCCACTGCTTTCCCAGGTCATAAACTGGCAGCTGGATCAGAAGTGGAGCAGCTGGGGTACCAATTGATGCCCATATGGAATGCCAAAGCCGGAGACAGAGGATTAGCCTGCTAAATCATGGCACTGGAGCCAACTGTATTTATTTTTAAATGGAAAAGAAATGTCAGGTACTTATTTGGTTATGCAATGCTTTTTCTTTTTTTGTCTATTTCCTGCTAAGCATTTTTGCTTCTATAGTATTGCCAGGTTCCTAAAATTGTTTAAAAACAAGATTTGGCTTCCTCATCAAATTGGTAGGCTTCCATTCTTGTGGCAACACTGCACCATGAACCTGATTTCTGTACAGAAACAAGTGCACTTTCTAGCTATTGGTCTATGTCCAGTTTTCAAAGCAGTTTTTTAATTCTAGTGCTTGTGTGATATAAACAGAGGCTGTGATGGTCATACAGTTAATATCAAACCAATGCACAGAATTTTATTGCATTCACTTTGTGTGCGTTAGTGCTCTGAAGTGCCTGCAAATGTTCCCCATAAGCCTGAAATATTGTTTTTAAGGCAAGTACTGCTTCCTGTATAGGGTATTTTCCTTATGGCAGATGTAAACATATAGACTGTATCAAAGGGAACCTAAAGTGCTGAGCCCGGGAAGCAGCAGTGACGGCTTAGATCGCTGGGTTCTTGCACCAGTGTGGGAAGTCTGCATTGGGTCCCTGACTCTTCACCTCAGCCTCACCCAGCCATGGTGAGCAGCTGGGAAGTGAACCAATGCATGGTGTGCTTGGTCTGTATCTCTGACTCTATTGCTTAAGTAAATCCACTTTAAAAGTTGTCATACCTTCTTCTGTCACCCCTACAGAAATTTCCCATGCTGTCATCTATACTTTTTTCTCTAGAGTTCAATGCACAGTATTTAGCATTTAATTTCATTTAGCTTTAAGAGGCTCACGTTGGTGTGCTCTGTCTCTCGCAGCTGTTGGGGTTGCCTGAATCTCTGCTAGACACTGTTGCTTGACGCCCGTTGCTGCTCTCCAGTGCATATGCTGTTCCTACTTGGTGATCTGGGGTGCAAGCCAGAAGGAAGCGGTGTTGCCTTACACTCTTCCAAGGGCCAAGGGGATCTCCCCCATGAGTCCGTCACATCCAGGGATGACGCATATGCTTGGTGTAGCTATGCCTGGCCCCTGTCCACAAAGCTCTAGTCATACAAGACAATGAACCTCACAGGGACAGGTTTCAGAACCCAAACACTTGCCATATGTCACATATTACATTCAACTTCTCTCCAAATCTATAACTGAACCAGTTCAGAGTTTTGATGCCCCCCAAAACTCAAGTAGTTCATCTCTTCCCTTACAAAAAAAAAAGCCATATTTAGGGGCCAGTACTATGGCACAGTATGTTAAGCTGCTGCCTGCAGAACCAACATTCCCTATCAGCACCAGTTCAAGTGTCAGCTGTTCCACTTCCTGCTAATGCATGTGGGGAAGTAGCCCACGATGGCCCACGATGGCCCACGTCCTGGGGCTCCTGCTGCTCACCTGGGAGACGAGCCCAGCCTTGGTCATCGTAATCTTTTCAGATGTGAACCGACAAATGGAAAATCACTCTTTCTGGCATTTTCTTTCTCCCTCCAAAGATTTCTTTTAATTTATCTAATTTTATCGAAAGTAAACAGAGATAGATTCTACTCACTGTTCACTCCCCAAGTGCCTGCAACAGCACAGCCAGTCCAAAACCAGAAGCCAGGAATTCCGTCCAAATCTCACACATAGATCCACCTGGCTGGCAGGGACCTCAGAACGTGAGTGGTCACCCGGTGCTTCTAGTTCAGTCCAGCAGGAAGCCAGAATTGGAAGCCAAGCAAGAACTTGAACCAAGGCACTGCGCTGTGGGAGGCAAACATATTAAGCTGCATTTTTACTGCTGGATCAAACACTATCTTCCCTCCGGTCCCCATTCCTGCCAACACCTTTTGATACCTGCTCCCGAGAACTGTTAAAGTATGAGTCGTTTCTGTTCCAGTTCATTCCTGTCCAAAATATCAACCTTAGCTGGCATGTGGGATTTGTTCTAAATCTTGGCCACGCCCCTCAGTTGCATGGCCAGTCTTGATTTCGCTGAGTTGGATGCTGGCCGTCCGACCCTAGACCTTCCTTCCTCACCTGTAGGACGATGATGGCAGAGCTGCTCCAGCTTTTGTGAGCGGTAAAAAACATACATAAAATATGTGAAGGACCCAGCACGATGTCCAGCATGCTTTAGAAGGCCAGCTGGGTGTGATAACCCCGGAGCTGCTGTCCTAAGGGCTTGGCCACAGGGTTGGGGTCAGTGTGCAGGACTGACAGTGGGGAAGCTTTCTCTGCATCTTATGCTTTTATTAAACTACGAGAATGTACAAGATGGAAGATGCATCACACTCACCTCTAAATTCCCCAGAGAGCCCACCCCTGTGCTTGGCATATAGTGTTTTTATTACTTTTATCATGGCTGGCTCAGCAGTTGTCAGAAGAAAATAGCATTGGTTTTAAGTCAGGCAACTTCCGTGCTTACACTGGCATCTCCAACAGCATGCGGCAGGACTTCAAGAATCATTCTCTTGGCGAGGCACTGCTGAATGCCTGCTGTGTGGTGGGCACGGTGGCTTTGGGAGGAAAGAACTTCGCTTAGACATGGTCTGTGCTGTCTTGGAATTCCCAACCTCCTGGAGAAGGAAAACATTGTAACATGGATGCTTATACATGCTACATCATATGTGAATTCTAAGCGTCACTGATATAAAAGGTGTATAGCATTTATAAAACATGTAAACGTTATTGTAATTTATAATTGATTCTTGCAGAATGTTTTTACTTCTTGCTAATGCAGGCAATTCAATCATGATTAAACAAGTGCTATTGCATACCAAAGTGCTTAATACTACGTAATAAATTTATTGTTTAAAAAAACAGCTGAGACCTTAAAAACCTGTTATTTGGAGGCCACCCAGAGCAGTTAAAGGGAATGGTGCTAGGATCCCATATCACGAGTTAGTGATGGGATGTTGCCGGTGGCACAGCAGTGCCATTACGCTGAACGCGGAGCCTGAGGAGTTAAGCCAATACTGGGACATTGCCATGGGGTACAGTGCAGCTCCTCACATACACGTGGTGTGTTACACTCTAACAGCAACAATTAAAGCAATTTAACATTGTCCCTCTTGGAATTGTTTCAAGACACCTTGAGGTCGGGATGATGGAGGCTCGTTATGCTACCATGTACTTGGACGTGTCTGATGTGTACTGGGACAAAACGTCCTTGAAGTTGGTAACTAAAGGCACGATGAGAGGACTCTTCCAACAACCTTCAGCGAAGGGAAGCAGAGGCTCCACGGTGAGGCATGGGGATGAGCAGCAGGTGGGATGCAGGGCCTCAGGGAAAGGTGGGTGCGGGGAGCGGTGGGCGCTGACAGGCGCAGGGTCCCAGGGGCGGTGCAGAGTGGGGCAAAGTTTCTTCCTCTTTTGCTTCAAGGCGAGAATGGGGGTCCGGGTGCACAAGGACACCGCGGTGTGCAGAGCGCACACAACCGACTCAGGGGACGCGTGTCTGGGGCTTGCCGGCGGCGTGGCCTAGGAGGCAAGAGCGCGGTCTCTTGCTGCCGGGAAGCAGCGCGCAGACACGCCTCTTCGGTCAACTCCTGGTGCACAGGAAGAAGTCTACGTTGCCGCGGTCCCGCAGGGAAGCCACAGCGTGCCGCCCAGGCCCGCCCCAGGCCGCCGGCACCCGGGAATGCGGGTTCGCCGGGCTCCCGCAGTGGCGGAGATCGTCCCTTCAGCGCCCCGGGTCCAGGCTGGCAGCCCCGACTATCCTCTCCGGCCGGGTCCCGTCTGCGCCTACACCCCCTTCCCCGCCTCGAGCCCTGGCGTCAGCGGCGCGTCCGCCAATGAGCCGCAGAGGGACGTCAAAGTGACGGGAGAGGCAGCCAATGGCCGGGGGAGGCAGGCGGGCCGAGGCGTGTGTGTGAGCCGCCGCACGGGGCGCACCGGGAGCTGCGGGCGGCGCGGCGCGCGGGGACCGGGCGGGGGGCGGCGCGCGGGCGGCCCCTCCCCGTGCCGGCTGCGGGCGGGCGGGCGCCGCGAGCCCCGAGTTTCGGCGCCTGGGAGGCAGATGCGTCCGCGGCTCGGGTTCCTGGCAGGTAACGCGCGGGGCGGCCCCAGCAGGGCCCAGCGCGCAGCGGGGCGTGCAAGAGTTGGACTCTGAGCGGGCGCCAGCTCCCCGTTCCCTGCTGCCGCCGAGTCCCGAGCCCCGATGGGCGGCCTGGTGGCCGGTCGGGCCCCGGGGCCACAGTGCGGCCCGAGAGTTGTGTCCGGGATCCGGGCTGCAGCCGGGGTCATAGGGGACGTGGGCCGGCCGCCGTGCTGCGCCCCGCGGCGAGCAGCACCCGGGACAAAGGGCGCTGCGTGGAGGGCGTGCGTGCCGTCCGCCTGCGAGGGCCCTTGTGCCCGCGCCAGGCGCGCGGCTGCTCCCTCGGAGCGGCCACCTGGCCGCCAGCCGGTCGCGATGAGGCGGTGGCTGGGCGCAACGGGGCTGCTTGGCCGCCTGCCCGGGGGGAGGCGGCTGCAGGCGTCGCGGCGCGAGAGCTAGGGGCCGCCGGCTGGGGTCCCAGAGCCCGCAGCTTACAGACGCGGGCTTGGAGTGCGGGAAGCCGTGCAGGTGGCGCAACCCACCGCCTCGCCTCGGCCAACTCCATGAGGGCCCCCTGGTCCTGTGGATACTGTGACTGTGGGTTGTGTGGGCGCGCGTTTAGATGTGTTTTCTTCCCTCCCCTCTTTAACGCACACAAAAGAAGGGAGGAGTTAAAGGGAGCAGGTCCTGCCCTTACGCACTTTATCCCTCCCGGGAGCAGATCTACGGGGGATTAGCGCCCCAGAAAGGGTGGACTGTGGAATAGGGTGCTGGCCTGTCTCGACCCCTCGGCCTGGCCGCCTGGCGGAGTGTAGTGACACGGGCTGGCCCTGGTGGAAACTTTATTGAGCCCGCGCAACTGCAAAGGCGCTGGGAAACAGGAGGACGGTCGCAGAAGGACCACACACCCCTGCTGTAGCTTTTGGCTCTACACTACCCGAGGCAGGTGTAGTAAGTGGCCCTTCCGGCGCGTGGCCTTGGGGCAACCAGCTCAGGGCTGCTGCTACTACCAGGGCTCCAGAGGTGGCGAGTCAGAAATGTTTCCAGAGAGGGCCTTGGCCGTTTGAATGGATAATTCCACCCCGTGGGGCAGAAAGGCTGGGCAGAGGCTGGCATGTCCTTGCACGCCGTGAGAGCAGCTTGCTGTAAGTTGGCTTCCACCATTCCACTTACTGCAGTCCCGGCCCCGTGCTTCACAGCGCAGTGACATTTGGTTTGGGGTGAGGAGGGAAGTCTCTGTTTGAGATTTGGTTTTGGCCTTTTCTTGGATAAATGGTACATTTGTTTTAACCCCCTGGAAATTGAAGTTTGACGTTGGAGTTTGCGGAGGTGCAGATCCCTGATGTATTGGGAATGCATGTGTGTATTGGGGGTGGTGGCAGAGATGGATTCTGACACAGGAGTGAGACAGCAGTCAGTTCTGCACTGGCTCTTAGGGGCAGGGCCAGATGGCCCGTTGTTGGACAGAGGCGAAGGGCATAGGGAGAGGAGTCCCTTGTGGTCCCCCCATCCGGTCAGGACACCTGCTGAGGACAATAGGAGGATGGTGCAGACCTTCCAAGAGAGAGACAGAAAGAGCCATCCTAATCAGGCAGCCTGGGAAGGGAAGGTGCCCCCAGCTCTGCTGCTGGGGCCAGCCTGGTGCACTACATCGGGCGTCTTACTGCCCATGTAGGACCTGGAGACACCCCTGCCCTGGATCTGCACATCGCAGGGCACCTTGGTTGAGCAATTGGAACTTGCAAAGTTTTTATTTATTTATTTGAGGGACATAGGCAGATTTTCCATTGTTGGATCACTCTGCCAAATGCCCACACCAGTTGTTGCCGGGGCTGGGCTGGGCCAGACCCTATGAACCGTTTCCTGCTGCCTGCCTGGGTACACATTCGCAGGAAGCTGAGATGGGGAGCAGAACTGGGCCTGGAGCCCTGGCACTCCGCTCAAGGATGCAGCCGTTTTTTGCACCACATGCTTGTCTTGGGAGGAATTGCAATAATAATGCAACAGTAAAAAAAAAAAAAAAAAAGGTAACAGTATGCAACATAGATGTTTCCATGTGGAAAGGGAGCAGGTAGCACTTACTAATTTCTATGTAACAGTAACAGTAATGGAGACTTTCGGTGTGTATACATTATCTCATTTCATGCTTGCCCCAGCCACCTGCAGAAAGCAGCGGTAGTGCCCTGTTGTGGGCCTGGGGAAGCCGTTCCTTGGTGTGCGGGCTCAAGGTCACAGCCAGCAGGTCCACTTGTGTCAGCAGAGCATATGCTGACAACCTCTGGAGCCGAGGGTTCACATGGGTTTCTGATGCACGCCAGCTATCCTTGCGTCTGGCCGTGAAAGATGCTTTCTGAGCGATTCCCCTCTACGCATCAGTGAGCAATCCCTTCCACAGCAAGGGCATTTGTATTTTTAGTGGGAGTGTTGGAGCCCCTGAGCAGAGAGCAAGGGTGTTACCGCAGGAGGGAGGGGGCTGCCGGCTGAGAAGCACCACAGGGAGTGTGGAGGGCAGGAGCGGGCAGAGCACCTGCTCCCACAGGAGAAGAGGAGGCTGCCACACTGACGCTGACGTCCACAAGCTGGGGCCCAGGCCGCCAGGGGGTCGCCAGTGTGCCTCGCATGTATCTGAGCTGTTGCTTTGAATACCAGAATCATCAGTCTGCCTTGTGAGCAGTATGGGATAAAAGTAAGACATAGTGGCTGACCTGTGACCACGGGGCATTTCCTGGTACAGCATTTGTCCTTTAAGCTGTCTTCTAGCGTGCTGACACGTTTGTGATGGGGCACCTGTAGACCAGGACCACAGGGCAGTCTTCTGGAACATCGTGTTCCACCTGCACTCTCGGCCTCCCGGAAGTCTGGCACAGGCAACCCCCAGGAGCCTTCATGAGAGCTGAGCAGGGCTGAGTCCCACTGAACCCTCACAGCCACAGGAGGGGGCATCTCCTCAGGGGATGTGGAAACAGCCGAGCAGTCTGACCTGGATGTGATCATGTTGAAGTCTGGAGAAAGCAGCTGTGGAGAATGGCGCAGGAATGGGGGCAGGAGAGGTGTGAGTTGGGCCAGGAGTTGGTGCTTGTGTAGGACAATTCCAACACGAGCAGCAGCATGGCCACTCGAGCATGGTGCGTCTTGGGCATCTGCAAGGGGTCAGAGTTGCAGTTCCGAGTCTGTGATTTGGTGGTTCTTGTTTGCTGGCGGTAGGCGTCAGCGCCTCACCTGGGTGCGTCCTTACGGGCGCTGTTTCTCTTGCAGATTTCTCAGCAGCATGACGCCGGAGCCAGAGGCCGGCACTCCCGGGTTTCAGCATGGCTGAGCTGGACGCTGATTTGGATCTCATCGTCCCTTCGTCTCTCCTCCCGCCCGGCTGGGCCAAGTTAGTGGTGGGACTTGTGGCCCTGGTGTGTTTTGCACGGAGCTACGATGGAGATTTTGTCTTTGATGACTCAGAAGCAATTGTTAACAACAAGGTGTGTATCCCAATGCTTTGCCGGGACGCTTGTATTAACTGCCTGCTGTAGGTCCCAAGAATGACCCCAGCTCGTGCTGAATCATCGTTGTTCAGCTTCAGTGTTTGCCTGGGTCCCAGTTGTGCTGGATTTCCCATGTGTTTTTGGTATTTCTCCTTAATTGAATGCCCCTTGTATTGCTGACAGTGGAGTCTGAAACTGCCACTTGCCTTCCTGAACCCTCAGGTAGGTGAGACCTTGCAGAGATGACAAGGCAAGGCTGTTTGTTACAGGGCACTGCAGGAGTAGCTTAGGCTTAAGTGGGTGGGGAATCAGAGCTGTTTTTGTTGTGGTGATAGCTGAGTGTGATCCCCTGCTGGAGGTGTGCCCTCAGCCACAGGCAGCAAGCAGCTGCTGCTTTGTCCCTCGGCACGAGGCAGGCTAGGCTGTGCCAGCCGGCAGCCACAGACACACGCCATGGCCCGCACTTGCTTAGGCAGGGTAGGCTGTGCCAGCCGGCAGGCATGGGCACACGCCATGGCCCGCACTTGCTTCATGTTGACAGGCTCAGATTCGCTGAACTTGCAGATCCCTGGTTGGCTTTACTCGTCAGCCACTGCTGTGTCAGTGCAGGGAGAAAAGATGTTCTTTTTCCACCTGTTCGTGGGAGTTAGAGGAGAAGACACTGGTATATGGGAAGGGAAGAAAAATGGCCAAGGGAATGGCAAGAACAATCAGATCGAGAAGCTCGGAGGCTGGAAGGCTGGAGAAGGGCCTCAGAATGCGGTGACAGTTTCATGACCTGGCCGCTGTGTGATGAATGTTCCTTAGCCAGTGAAGGCAACGTGAAGGGGTCTAGTAATCTGTCTCCCTGGGACTTGCAACCAAGACAGCTCCTTGCAGTGAATGCCCTTACAAAGAAGAAGTCATGGGTCCCAGCCAAGGAGAAACTCGCCACGTTTTATATTGAAAGTGTCGAAAGCAGCTCTCCACAGCAAGCTAGCAGTCTGCACATGTCATAAGGGCTATGATTAATATGGAGACATTTTACTTATTTTGTAATTATTTTTTAAAATACATTTATCTGAAAAGCAGGTTGCAGAGAGAAAAAAGGGAGACAGATGTCTGCACTGGTTTACTGCTCAGGAGCCAGGAGTTCCATGTGGGTCTCCCACAAAGGTGGCAGGGCCACGAGCAGCTGAGCCATCCTGCACTGCTTTTGCAGATGTGTTAGTAGGGGGCTGGATCATAAGTGGAGCAGCCAGGAGCTGCAACTCATGTTCCTATGGGAAGCAGTGTTACAGGTGGCGGCTTAACCTGCATGCCACTCAGTACTGTAACAGGCCTTCTCCGTTGTGGTGGCACGAACTAGAGCATCCTTGATGTTTCATTGCAACTCAGGTTGTTTTCACTTTTTTCAGGTTCATGCAGAAGTTTAGGTGTAGGTGATTCACCTGCATTTTTTTTTTTAAACCCTGCTTAAAAGCAGCAGCAAGCCTAAGCAACCATGTCAGATTGCTGGCTTAGGAGACGTGGAAAGGCTTTTCCAACAAGGCCTTGGCTTTAAATGCCGTTGTGCATGGTGGGTGAGAGTTCTCGCCTCTTGCACATTCGTGAAGTGTTGTTCCAGAACAGGCAGGACAGAAACGTGAGCTGGTGTGTGTGTGTGTGTGGGGGGGCTGCCCGTGGAGTACCACAGTGTCAGGATGGGGTTCTCAGCACCCCTGGGTACAGTGAGGTGGGGGAGCCTCTCCCTAGGTTGTGCTGAGCGTGGCCTTGGCAGCCCTGCCCTGAGTGCCACCTGTGCTGCGCCTGCCACTCTGTGCCTTGTGGGCTCCCGGGCCCGCAGTGCTGTGGTCCAGACTGTTGGGTGCTGTGGTCCAGGCTGTTGGGTGCTGTGGTGTGTTGCCGACTGTCTGCCAGCTGCTTCCTCGTGGTGCTGAGTTGTCTGTTTTTGTTCCCTGAGCTGGTGGTCTTCTCTGAGACCGAGGGGTGAGGCAGAATTTCAGGCACGCAGGATGTTTTCACAAATAGTGGGCGAAAGCAGAGCTGCTGGGCAGCACGCTCCATTGCATGTTGCCTGTGCCTCGTCAGAGATTTAGAGCGTTGCTGGTGTCTGTGCCGTGCAGAAGGAGGGAAGTGTTCTGCACACAGCCCCACAGTGACGGAAGGCACGTTGCTGTGATGGGGCAGAGCTGGACTTGCACTCTTGTCTCCAAGTCCACTGGGTCAGCAGGTAGGTGGCCTGCGTGAGCATCACAGGATATCTGACCTGACCTGCATGCCAGTCGGACACTCACTCAAGGCTTTTGAAGTTGATCCCACAAGGAGACACAGGCCACCCTAACAGTGGCAGTCAGGTGACCACCTCAGCGCGTGTCATCCCTTCTTGGGCCACTCCCGAAGCCTGCAGACTTGCACGTGGCGAGTTCTGAACTCCACGTGCCTCGCTGGCCTCTGTCGCCCAGGGGACCACAGCTCATCTGGCCCATCTCTCCTGTGTGGAACATTCACGTGCTCAGCGGACTGGCTGATTAGGAAACCGTGCAGACAGAGCACTGCTCTCAGGAGCCTGAGCTCTCGGAGGCAAGGACTGGGCCCCCAGAGAGGCCCCCAGAGAGGCTGGGCCGTCGTGGCTAGGGACCAGTACAGCAAGCCTCGCCTTGAACTTCAGAGATTCAGAGTTTGCTTGGCTGCTGCAATGAAGACTCTCCAAGGAGACAGCGGGCAAGGCTGCACACATCCTCCCGTGTGGTCTCAGAAATATTTATTCTGCTTAAGGGGAAACTCAGCAGTCACTTTGTTACACCAGAGTGCCTTGTGTGGCTTTCACCAGTTTTAAGTCCTCTGATTTCATCTTTTACACTTAAAATGATGCATATTCAGTGTCTGTAGTCTGGTACCTAATTAAATGATCTCAGCAGTCAGCTTGACACAGCTTTTTAATATGTAGTGATTTTTATCATTTTAAAATTATATGGTAGGGTCTTTTTCCCCCGACTTCACAGTCTACTTAACTCATAATCAAAAATGAAAAACTTTAAAAATATGTTTTTGCATACTTAGGCTTAAACTTGAATATTTTGGGCAAATTCCTTCATTTATTGGCTGTGAGAAATTAATAGTGATTTTACTTGATCCATTCGTTCATTCAGCATGTATTAACCACTTGCTGTATATGCCCGGCAAACTCAGATGTGTCCCTGGCTTCATGGAGCCCCAGACAGAACAGTTAGGTAATTATCAGTCACCAGGGTGCCAAGCACTGTGTGTGCAGGGTGCCCCAAGACCCATGGGAGGGGGTGGGGTCTAGTGGGGAAGACCAGAGCTGGATGGCTGCAGGAGCTGTGCTGGTGAAGGCATGGTGACCAGCTGTCCCTGAGGTGGCACAGACTGGGCTGAACATCTGGGCACGGTGATGTCTTCAGAATGTGGGTTTTGTCCCAGGAGGGTGGGAGCTGCTGTAGGGCTTTAAGCCGAGTGCGGTGGGCAGAGCCAGCATGCAGCCCTGCTGGGAGGCCTGTCTGTCCTCCGTGAGAGCGTGGGGCTCTGCCGCAGCCCTGGCATGGGAGCAGGAGCCAGGTGGGTGGGCTGAAGAGCCCTGGGGAACTTGGAAGACGCCTGATGGAGGCATAGGGAACGAGGGAGGAGTGTGGTTCCCCCTTCCAGTCTGTGCCCTGCTCTGTCCCGGCAGGACCTCCGAGCAGAAACACCCCTGGCTGACCTGTGGCTTCATGACTTCTGGGGCAGCCGGCTGAGCAGCAACTCCAGCCACAAGTCCTACCGACCCCTCGCCGTCCTCACGTTCAGGTGCGTGCCACCCAGAGCGCCGCTGGGTGCTTACATATATTGCAAGCATTTTTCGCCAAAGAAATACTTAAATTTTGTTCTCCAGAATCAGAGCTCCCATCTGCCAGTCCACTTCCCAGATGCCCGCAAGGGCTAGGGCTGGCCTAGAGCTGGGAGCTGGGAGCTCAGACCAGATCACCCACATGGATGGTAGAAACCCTTTTATTGAAGTCATCCCTGCAGATCACCCGGACTCTAGTAGGAAGTCAGAAGCAGGAACCACAAGTTTCTCTTTTTAGATTTGTTTATTTATTTGAAATTCAGAATTACAGAGAGAGAAAGAGAGTCTCACATATTTCATCCTCTGGTTCACTCCCCCAATGGCCACAACGGCCAGAGCTGGGCCCATCCAAAGCCAGGAGTCAGGTCTCCCACATGGGTGTAGGGACCCAAGCACTTGGACCATCCTCTGTTGCCTTCCTAGGCCATTAGCAGGAAACTAGAGCAGAAGTGGAGCAGCTGGAACACAAACCAGGGCCCACCCATATGGGCTGCCGGCACCACGGGCAGTGGTTTTAATGGCTGTACCACAGTGCTGTCCCACAGAATTGAGTATCTGTCCGCACTGAGAGGCCACATGCCTGCTCTAACTTACCTTTGATCTAAACTAAATCTGTTTTTTTCCCATGAGCTTTTTGAGTGCCCTTCGATGGGTCAGAGCAATGTGAGGGTAATGCTTTTTATTTTCACTGCAAAAATAGAAAAGACGTAAATCTTCCACTGTCACCAGCTCAGCATGCAAAACCAGGATGACGCCTGAGATGTCTGTCCCTGCCCCTGTCAGCCCCGCAGCCATCTCACCGTGTGGATGGTTCACTTGCAGGGCTCCTCCCATGGAAACACGGGGGCGGCCGGGCAGTGCAGCTCTCTGCAGGAGGCCCAGCCAGGTGGGAAGCAGCGACCAGTCCCTGCGAGGCTGTTTGGCTTTTGCTGTTACAGAACATATTTTTTGGTGAATTAAGCAAGCAACATAGTATCTTAATTAAATCCAGGTCCCTCTGTCCCTGTGAGTAATGAGTAAGTAACAAGTGCCTTCTTAGAAGGCAGTCTTGCCCCCTCCCACTGAAAGGGGGCGCACGTTCTGCTGCTTGGTGTTTGCAGTCCGCTCCTGCGGGGGCGGTGTGCGTTCCTCCCCCGCAGCTCATGATGTTCACGCTCCTTCAGCCTGCCTCACCTGCTGAGAGGCGTGGCCTGGGCGCTCCGTTCCCAGACAGGCAGTCTTCCCCTTGTGTTTTCCAGCCCCAGTCCCGTGCTCCGACTGGAGTGCCTGTTCACGCCATGTGCTTCCGTGTGCCTAGCACGAGCCTCCCATGTTTGCTGCAGGTTCAACTACTACCTGTCAGGAGGCTCCTACCCCATGGGTTTCCACGTGGTCAACATCATCCTGCATGGCGGCGTCTCCGTGCTCATGGTGGACGTGTTCTCAGTGCTGTTTGGTGGCCTGCAGTTCACCAGCAAAGGCCGCAGGGTGCACCTGGCCCCCAGAGCATCCCTGCTGGCGGCTCTGCTGTTTGCCGTGCATCCGGTGCACACTGAGTGTGTAAGTATCACTTGCCTGGGACATCCCCGCCGTTCGCCATTCGTTCCAAAGCCTTCGCGAGTGCACTTGATGGTATGTAAATGAAAAGCATGTACCGTAGAGGCCGGGCCCAAAGCTTGCATTGCTGTTTCTGGGTCAACGCCCCCTCCCCGTTGGCGCAGTCCGAGGGGCTGGATGCTGCCTGGCTCCGGGCCTAAAGGCCAGAGGCTTAGAAGGGATCCCTGTCTCAGCTGACAGCTCTGTGATGGACAGAACACTCCCTTCACATGACTGTGCTGTGAAGCTGCGGCTGCCGTAGCCACCTGTGACTGCAGGTAGAGCAGTGGCTGGGGGGTGGTCAGAGGCCCTGCCCTGGGTCTGTGGCTCTCGCTGCAGGGATGACCTAGATGCTGGCCCCTGAGGCCAGTAGAGGAGACACAGAGGGACCCAGCAGGAAAGCCTCCCCAACCCTGCGGGCCCCTCCTCCCGCTTCGCACCTGTCTTCCCCTTCCTGTTCCCCTCCCTCTCCCCTCCTTCGTCCCTCCTCCAGTCTCCCTTTGCCTCGCCCCTCACCTCTGCTACCTTACCAGTATCGTCGTCTTTCCTGTGAGGGACTTAAGCCAGGTGATGGGCTCCTCATTTATTCCCTTGAGCTGCCCGGGTATTGGGTACAGAAAGGGTTGGGACCTAACTGGGTATCTAAGGTTTCAGCAGCCACCTCAGAGAGCCTGGGGAGATGTGGGTTTGTCAGTCTGGGCGTGAGCAGGTGGTGCCTAGCGTGAAGTGCTGTCTGCCTCATTTAGCGTGCTTGTAAACTCCATTGTTGAGCTTTGGTGGCTGTGAGCGTCTTGAAGTCAGTTCCCACTGTGGGGAGAGTCCGGCTCTATCCAACCCCATGTCCTTTGGAATCAGTAGTTTTGCAGAGCTGTCATCACAGCTCTGTCCTCATGCCTTCTTGTTTTACATTTTACTTTATTTTTTAACCTTAGAAAACTCAGGAGGGCAGGAGAGGGTAGAGACTGAAGTGAGACCTTACTTATAAGCCTTTTATTTCTATATAACTATGCTTGAATTAGAACTCGCTTCCGTTCAGGTTCTCCCTTGATTTGATTACTAGGACCCCGCACTGGTGTATGCATTACTCATCGATAAGCAATCCTAGGAAAGCACTGACTCGATTCTTACCTAATTTAGTGTGATCTTAAAAGCAAAATGAAATACTTCTATTAACCAAAGAAGTTTTTTATTTTACATGTTATAAAGTTTTTTTTTTTAAGGAAGGTTTAAATGCCAAAAAGTATAACTGAATATGGTTACAAACATACAAACTCATTCACTGTCTCAAATAAGCGCAGTAGGATGTCATGTTCATCTTTTCTTAAGATTTACGTGTTTATTTGAAAGCCAGCATTACACAGAGCAAGGAAGAGCGAGGGATTTTCCATCCTCTGGTTCACTCCCCAGATGATCTGGGCTCTGCCTGGCCAAGGCCAGGAGTCTGGGACTCCCGGGTCTCCCCGTGTGTGCAGGGCCCATGGACTTGGGCCATGTTCTGCTGTGTTCCCGGGCGCATTAGCAGGAGCTGCACTGGGGGTGGAGCAGTCGGGTCTCCTATCAGCGAGCGCTCATGTGGGCTACCAGTGTCCCAGGTGGCAGCTTTGCTGGCAGTGCCATAGTGCCAGCCCCAGAATGTGTTAATCTGGAAATACCATATTGGAAAACTCTTCATTTTTTCCCACTTCCATTCCACGACAGTCATCCTTAGTAAGGTGTCAAGAGATAGTTAAGAATCATGGAGAATTAGCATTATAAGTAATCTTTCATATATTTGCTTTTCCTTATTTGGGCGAATAATATTCAGTTTCTTGTTATCAACTTCCCCTGTTACCTTCCATTCTAAAGTTTTAAATTCCAACTTTGAAAATACACAGTCCCCCTCAAGAAAGTAAACGAAGGCCAGCTCCCTGCTGGTTTCCTGCCAGCCCCAAGGAGGCCACGCACGGCTGAGGCACAGGCTGGCCTTGGAAGTGTAGCAGTCGGGATATGAACCAGCCCCCGTAGGGACTCCTGGCGCTTGCAAGGTGAGGACTTTCGCCACCAGGCTACCACACTGGTCCTAACAGTCTGTTTTCTTTTTCGTCAAAGCAGTGGTCATATTCTACATATTGCTCAGTTCCAGATTCAGAGACGGAAGGTGGAAGCTACTTCAGAGTTCTGCCTTTCTAAACACCCAGATCATAATGCTGAAGGGAGTAGGTGGGGCACACACCCCCTCCCCGCCCCCAGATTCCTGAGAGCAAGCCAAAGGAGAAGTGCAGGCACTCTCCATCCTCCGAGTCATGCCCCTACGTGACGGACGTCCAGAGCTGGGCCGGGCTAAATGCAGCCATCTGGGTGTCCCACATGGGCAGCAGGGACCCAAGGCCCTTGCTTTCTCCTGCTGCTTTCTCAGGCACATTAGCAAGGAGCTGGCTCTTACAGCGAGCCAGCGTCACAGGCAGTGGCTTGACCCTCTGTGTCCCAATGCTGGGTCCAGGTTTCAAACCTTATTTGCACCAAAATAACTTTGTCTTGTAACTTGTCTTGCCTGTGACGTTTTTGAAGTGCCTTCCTATGGCCAGGGATGCTGCTCCTCTTACTCTGAAGGTTTTTTTTTTTTAAGCTGTTAATAGGACACACATGGGAACCACATGCCAGTCTCACAGGCGTTATTTTCTTTTGAAAAAGCTGTTGGGCCTGGTGCAAGAGCATAGTGGTTAAAGTCCTCACCTTGCAGGCACTGGGATCCCATATGGGTGTCAGTTGTAATCCCGGTGGCCCCACTTCCCATCCATCTTCTTGCTGTGGCTTAGGAAGGCAGTCAAGGATGGCCCAAAGCCTTGGGATCCTGCACCCACGTGGGAGACCCAGAAGAGCTGGCTTCAGATTGGTTCAGCTTCGGCCGTTGTGGCCGCTTGGGAAGTGAACCATGGGACGGAAGATCTTCCTCTCTGTCTCTCTTCCTCTCTGCATATCTGCCTTTCCAATAAAAATAAATAAATCTTTTTTAAAAAGCTGTTAGAATTTTCTTTATTTGTTGCTGCAGCATAAACATGCTTGTGCGGGAGCCTTGTGCTGTTTCGCTGTGTGTATGCTTGCGTGGTGTCCAGGCGGGACAAAGGATTCCTTGTCTGTTCTCTCCCCTCGAAGAATAGTCCTCGAAAATGCGCTTCACTCGTGTGTGTCCTTTGAGACAGTTGACCTGCCAGCATGGAAGCAGCAGCTGGAGACCTCTGTCCTGTTCCACACCCGTTAGGAGAGGACCCCACCTGCACCCACTCAGGACCCTCCGTGGAGTTCTGTGTCTCCCGTTACCACGTGGTGATTTAAACAATTGGCATTAGAGTTCTGGGCTGGAAAAAAAGAAAACACATATTGTGTGTTATTTCATGATCGTGGAGGAAGAGTGGCAGTTAGCCCACAGAAGTTCACCGGTGGAAATTCACCCTGTTACCGGGCTGCGTATGACTAATCACTGTTGATGTCTCTGTCTTGCAGGTTAACCTACTTAATCAAGTTTGGCAGGAAGAATTAGCAAAGATAACTAGGAAGGAATATTCTTTTGTCTTTAGATAGATATGTGTGCAAGTGGCTTAGCTTTTACCACCCATTTTCCGCATTTGTGTCCTGTGTTTTCAAACACATTTTTTAGCTTTCGTGCCTTTTGAGCCTATAGCATTTCCCCATTCTGAGTCCACTTTGGGGACATCAGAAGGCCACTGGAGCTGCCGTGTGCTAACCAATGCAGCTTCCACAACCCGCACGTGTCCTGCCGCCTGCCCCGCTTGCACGGCGGCCTTTGGCTGTTCCAGCCTTGGGAGTTAGTTAAGTCCTAGACCAGAAAGGGAGAAGAAAACCAGTTGTAGATGACGATCCCGGGTTGTGGCAGGGTCTGGTGACTTCCTCATGTGATACCTCTAAGGAATGTTTTCTATTTTACAAGTTCAGGATTTGCGAAAAAGTTTTTTACATATATCATTTTTTTTCTCCCCAGGTTGCTGGTGTTGTCGGTCGCGCTGACTTGCTCTGTGCCCTGTTCTTCTTGCTGTCTTTCCTCAGCTACTGTAGAGCATTTAAAGAAAGTAAGCACCCCGTTTGCCTCCCTGGTGTTCCACTTGCTTTGTGTTTTGTCCAGCAGTACTGGCAAAGATGGGCAGCGGTGTCGGTTAGCACCGTGAGCGTGGGGCTGGAGGCAGGCACTCTGGGCAGGCATCTGTTTCCTCCATTGCTTTCTGGCATGGTGCTAACTTGAAGTTCAGTAATGTATCACTGTCCAGATGGGAGGAGCCTCATGGGCACGGAAATGCTGTGGCACTTGGGCTGGTGTTTGCAGCACTTTGGGGCTGGTTGTGCTGATAGGGCATCTGGGGCCCAGCCACCGCCCCGGGCTGGATCAGAGGACCCTGCATTGCAGTTTTCCTTCGCCTGCTGGGAGGAGACGTGCTCAGGCTGTCTCTCTGTGAGCACCTGTCTCCTCATGCCAGGGCTGGCTCCAGGACACGTGAGCATGACACATTGTCCCCGGCGTTCGTGTGACGCTTGGCACACCACCTGCCCTGGTTATGTTTGTTTATCCTGAGATGAAGTCCCCACTTGCCGTGAGTCAGGTGTCTAATAGATCAGAGTGGGGCTTGCTGCACTTCAAGGCTTCCAGAATGGAGAGTGGTGGTGATTCCTACGGTGACGGTAAGGCGTGCCCGTCCCCCTCCTGCCTCAGGGGTCTTCCATCGGTGACGGGTCTTCATGTGAGGATGAAGGAGGGGTCCATATACCCCCTTACTGCCGTGTCCAGTAACAGTAGTACTACGTCACATCTAAAGCTGGGAGTTAAATCTGAACTGGCAGCTACAGAGGATACCATCTCACCAGTGGTCGTGTTTTTTCTGGAAAAAATTAGGATAAAGAGTGACAGCCTTTCCCAGACACAACCAGGTGATTGTAACACATCATTCCTCAAAGTGACAGTTCCCTGTCCTGACTGGACTTCAAGGACATCGGAAGTGTGTTAAGAAGCTTGGTAGATTTACTGTGTGAGATTCATCATTTAGGAGGCGTAGTAGACCCTTGCACGACTTTATCTGCAGCTGATTACAATACACTTGGACATGTCAAACTTATTTCCAAGACCTGTTCATAAAAAGATATTTTTCTAAAGCCTCTTTGGGAACCAAAAAATCAAGATGCTTAAATACCTGTTGGTTTCAGTTAATTAATACTTTGGTACATGAGAAATTGGTGAAGTAAATCTTAGTACTGAAATAAAGGGTATTCAAAGTTTAATGGAATATATGTGTGATGAAAAAAGCTATTTAGTGGGAACCAGCTTGGTTGCATATCAGGCTAAACCTCCACCTTTAGTGTCAGCATCCCATATAGGCGCTGGTTGATGTTCTGGCTGCTTCCATTTCCCATCCAGGTCCCAGCTTATAACCTGGCAAAGCAGTACAGGGTGACCCAAAGCCTTGGGACCCTGTACCCATGTGGGAGACCCGGGGAAGGCTCCTGGCTTTGGATCAGCTGAAGTCTGGCCATCACAGCCATTTGGGGTGTGAGCTAGCAAATGGAGAGATCTCTTTCTCCTCCACCTGTCTCTCCTCCTCTCTAAAAGTCTTCCTTTCAAATAAAAATAAACCTTTTTGTTTTTTTATATAAAGTGTGCAGGTACTCTACAAGCCACACTATTAAAAAAAAAAAAAAACATACATGGATCTTCGATGGTTTGTGCAGTAAAAGGGACACGTTTTTCATTCTGTTTTCTCCATGAACTCGAAGTACCTTCGTGTATTGACTAGAAGAAATAGCATGACCTTTCTTGGCCCCATAACATTCCTGGAGCACTTATAATATATTTACTTTGGGGTTGGAAATGGTCAGGCCTTTATTGTTAAATTTGTAGCTGTTTTTGTTAAAGCTCCCTGGGAAGTATTCGGTGTTTGCGCACCACCAGCAGTGGGGAACGTGGTTTCTGTGGAAACCCTTGCAGACCAGGAATGGATTTTCATTGAGCTGAGATCACTTGGACAGTTAAATGGAAGGCCATGGAAGCCTTTGAAGGCTTTCTCATGACCTCTTGTCTCCAAGCTGCCCCTTCTTGCTCGGATTTGGTCTCCCGGTAGTGTGAGCCTCTTTAGAAAAAGGGAAAGGTGGGCTCTAATGGAGCCCATGGAGCTGTTCCATTCTGGTGTCTGGTCCTTTGTGGTCACCAGCAGCTTATTTGGTCTTTGAAAAATATGAGGCTATATGGTTTGCCGCACACATCCACCCTGATCTTTAATGGTGTCGACCCTGGAAGTCATTGGTGGACATGAACTTTTGTATCCTTTGTCCTCTGGCTGTATCCTCCTGCCATGGCAGCCTCCAGGCTGTGGACCGTTGCAGTTCTTTCTTAGAAGTTTAAGGTGGTTGATCACCGACACCTGGCTCTTGAGCTGCAGTCTTGTGGTTTGGGGTTGGTTTTCCTTGCTGCTGTCTGTGCCCATTCATGGTTGCCCATCCCAGACTATGGATAGGGTGATTGGGGCCCAGCCAGGCCTGGACAACACAACAGCCTTGATCCTGCAAAAGGACCTCGTCTCCCTGGGCACCGTGTCCCACATGGGAACAGTTTTCCAGCCCCTTGCCAGCCAGATGCTGTGCCCTGGGCTGGCCCATCGTCCCTCAGCACCTTGTGGCCATTCTTTATCCCCTTCCCCATCAAGTGGCACCAGGTTGGCCCTCTCATTCTGCCAGCTACTTTCAGGCCCTCCTTGGCTCAGTTACTACCCTAAACCAGTGCTTCTGGAGGCTGGACCAACCTGGCCTAGCCTGTTGACAGAAGCACTTAATTTAGCAACTTCTGTGTATTTCTGATATTCTGTACTCTCTTAAGATTTATTTTATTTTTTCTTTTAAAGGCAGTTATAGGGCCCAATGCAGTAACCTAGTGGGTGAAGTCCTCACCTTGCACACACTGGGATCCCCTATGGGCGCGAGTTCTAATCTCTGCTTCCCATCCAGTTCCCTGCTTGTGGCCTAGGAAAGCAGTTGAGGATGGCCCCAAAGCCTTGGGATTCTGTACCCGCTTGGGAGACCCGGAAGAGGCTCTGGACTCCTGGCTTCAGATGGGTGCAGCTCTAGCCACTGGGGCCATTTGGGGAGTGAATGAGCAAATGGAAGATCTTCCTCTCTGTTTCTCCTCCTCTCTGTATATCTGATTTTTTTTAATTAAAAAGAAAAAAAAAGTGTTTTTTTTTTTTTAAGGCAGAGTTACAGAGAGAAGGAGAGACATAGAGAGGTCTTCCATCTACTGGTTCACCCTTCAAATGGTCACAGTGGCTGGAGCTGAGCACATCTGGAACCAGGAGCTTCTCCCACACCCCCCACATGGTTCAGGGGCCCAAGGACCTGAGCCATTCTCAGCTGCCTTCCCAGGCCACAAACATGGAGCTGGATGGGAAGTAGGACAGCCGGGATACCAGCACCCATGCAGGTGCCACAGCTGCAGGCTTAGCTCGTTATGCATGGTGCCAGTCCTTTTCAACTCATTTTTAAACACATTAAGAGTAGAACAGGCTTCACTACTCATAGATAAGAACTCTTAGGAATACCCCTGAAACATCACCTTCGATTTCACACATTGTACCTGAGAGCCTTTTGAGTTTCCATAAACCAAGACTACCTTCTCAGGAAAAAAAAAAAACAGTAAAAATGATTTGCAAAAGTAATTCTGTATAAGGCATTTCTTTCTTTTATGTTGCTGTAGGAACCCCCTGAGGCTGGGTGCTTGATGCACCCAGAGGTTTACCTGGAGCACAGTTTGGAGGCTGAGGCCAAGGTAAAGCGGCCTCTCTTTTGACCTCTTAGGAGGGCACCCTGAATGTGTCAGACATAGCAGAGAAGCCGCAAAGGAATGGGCTTTCCAACAGCCCAGCTCTTCGAAGCCAGGGAGGGTCCCTGAGAGCTGCGCTTGTCTCTTCACAGGCAGCTCCCCGAAGGAAGTCCTCACTCTCCACCAGCCCCCCAGCTCGCAAAGGTTCTGCCCCCTCCCAGCCACACCTTGAGCTTCATGCACGTGGAGCTGGGAGAGAAACCACAGCCAGACACAGCAGCATTACGAGACACTGCCCCCCCCCCCCCGCCATGCTGTTATGAACTAGCACTGAGACGTATTGGTGTTGGTCGTGTCATCAGCCATACTAAGTGCTTCCAGCTCTAGATCCCATGTCCAGTGCTAGGAGTGCAGAAACTCAGAGGCCCTGTCTGTGGGGGTGTCCAGGCCAGTACATCTGGGACTATTGTTGTGATGCAATAAGTAAAGCCACCACCTATGTTGCCAGCATCCCATATGGGTAGCAGCTCAAGTCCTGGCTCCTCCACTTCCGATCCTTCACCTGCTAACACACCTGGGAGTGCAGTTGAAGATGGCCCAAGTGCTTGGGTTCCTGCACCCATGTGGGAGACCTGGGTGGAATGCAAGGCTCCTGGCTGTAATTGGCCCCACCCCAGCTCCTATGGCTATCTGTCTGTCTCTGTGCGACTCTGCTCTCTGTTAGTCTGCCTTTCTAAAGACTGCCTGAGCAACAGAGTGTGCAGCTCCCTGCAGAGCCAGGGTTGCCTGGGCCCGCCTTGCCAGCGGGCTCCAAGTCATGCTCCCTGCTCTCCTGGTGTGTTCTGCAGAATGGGCGGCTGTTTTCTTGTGCTTTTGATTGATTTCCATCGGTTGGGCAGAGCAGGGCTCTTCATATTAATGGGTCTGCAGGTGTGTGGATCCACGTGTAGAGTTTGGGATAGAGTCATCAATCATGGCATTTTTGCTTCGCCCCGTTTAGTCAGTACAGCAGTGCAGGGGCTGGGTGGGGGACGTGGGGCTTGACTGTCCTTGCGCCGATGGTTGTTACGGTAGCTGTCTTTGTAAGTGTCCAACAGATGGTCAGGACTCTTGTGTGGTGGAAGTCCAGCATTTATTCAGGCACGAATCATGCTGTTTAGGGTTCAGAGTCACTGTTTAACCCATTTAAAAACCTGATCTGTGTGCTTTTTGGACCTGAACAGAGATTCACAAAAGAGGTCGAGCATCCATCAAACATGTGTTCGGGAAAGATTTTTTCCAGGGGATTAGATTGTCGTTTTGTACAGGAGCGAAAATGGAGTGCTCTGAAATGAACAACGCAGCCAGTTGAAAGCTCTTTTCCACCTCTGTCTTAGTAACCTGCTGAGTTTTCTTTAGAGATGGGATGCCTGGGTTATGCATCCAGACACTTTTTAAATAGCCTGGATTTATGAACAAGCAATTCTGTGTTAACCCCTAGAATGTTGGCATTTTCCAAAAATGAAGAAAATACTCTATGTCTCTGGGGCTCCGTGTGTGTGTGTGTGTGTGTGTGTGTGTGTGTGTAAATAAAATGGCTCCAAGCAAGGTTTTTTTACAGCAGAATCTTTTAAAAGGAAATATTCTCATAATATAAGCAATCATTTTTCTATTTTAAAAAAAATGACTAAGTCAAATGGAGTTGATGTTATTTCTGAATGCTGGGTATAAAATGTCACTATTTCTTCTCTGTTAAAGCCTGGCATTGCAAACTGAAAGCCTAATCTGTGCATGGCAGAGCTGGCACATTAGCTGAAGCTGTTCTCTAAGCTAACACCTTCCAATTCTTCTGCTAGGAGTTAGGGCTCAGAAGGTAAGTTCAGCACCTCACTTACAGCAGACAAGAGTCTGGGCTTTCGGGAGGACGTGGGGCCGCTGTCCACCTCGAGCTGCTGTTTGCTCGTCATGTCAGAGGTCAGATTTCAGACCCCATCGTCCTGAAAGCCTGAGCCTCTTGGCTGTGTCCGGATCCAGGCGCCCACCAGGCTTCCTCTTGGGCCGTCGTTCACTCTGGTTTTCGTGCTAATTTGTCTGCTTTTCTTGGATGCAGATCATGCAGTTTAGGAAACTCGGGTGATTCCTAACTCCTGCCTGCAGCATGGTTGTTTTTAGGCTGTGGGATCACTGCTGACCAAATTCTTGCGGTAGACTTCCTCTGTTTTCTTGGCACCCTCTTTTTTCTGCCTGCCGTGTCCCTGGGCTGCCAGTTGCTGGATGTGACAAGAACGTGCTCATGTTTCCGAGTGGCAACGCTGACTGCTTTCATTTGAAGCATGGCTTGGTAGCTTCCACTTCTGGAGTATCACTTTGTGAATCTGATGCTCATGGTGTGTGGTTCAGACAGCCAGCGTGGCCACATGTCAGGTGGCATGGTTCCCACATACCGGGTGGTATGCCAGGCAGAGGTGATGGGGGCGCTGGCTTGTGCCATGTGACACCTCTATTGCAAGAGGCACTGCCCACTGCAGAGGTGCCTGCTTGGTTGCATTGGCCGTTGGCCCTGACAGGCGTCCGTCGGCAGGGCAGTGCTGTCCCTGGGCCCCCTCAGCTCCGGCAGCCATTTTCTGCTTTCCCCCATAGCTTTGGAGTCTCTGTCATAACAGTGCCTAGGACAACACCAAGTGGTTGGAATGCAGACCCGTGATGGGCAGGGCATCTCATCTGGGAGCCAGGCCTGGGAACTCACTGTCTAGGCCCCGGCGTGCAGTCAGAGCCAAACACAGTGCACATCTTTCTGATAGTCACATTATTAAAGAAAGATGGGGTGCATTTTAATATTGTACTTTGTTTAGCTCAGTACATTTAAGAAGTCAACATATAGTATAAAAGTACAAAATATTTTACTATTTTTCATACTGAGTATCTTTTATGCTTTGGCATTGGGGCTGGGTCAGTTTCAAGGGCTCTTTGGCTGCCACAACCTCTGTCCTGGAAAGTGGCAGTCTACTGTGTGTCCACTGAAGGTGAAGTCACCACCAGGCTAATTACTGGCAGTTGAAAGTTTGCCTTTGACAGGAAATTGTCACTGTTTAATGTTTAAACTTAAAACAAAAAACACTTTATCTCTTCAGTATCTGGATCTGGCTGCACGCAGCTGACAGGCACGTGCTGGGTCCCTGCGAGGTTGAAGGAGCACCCTGGGTCACCCTTTAACTTCCCAGGGCTCAGTGCACTTAGAGCTGGGTGACGAGGCCATGCCTCACTTGAAGCCTCGTGGGAAATTGCAGCCCCTCAGCTGAGGGAGTTTTGCTAATTCATATGCAGTGTTTACTGAGTCATCTCTGTGGCAATATACCAAGTGACTTTTTAAAATATCTAGTTTGGTGGCCAGTGTGAAAGTTCAATTGGCTAACCTTCCTCCTTGCAAACACGGGGATCCCATATGGACACCACTTCCCATCCAGCTCCCTGCTTGTGGCCTGGAAAAGCGGTGGAGGACGGCCCAAAGCCCTGGGACCCTGTATCCATGTGGGAGACCCAGAGGAAGCTCCTGGCTCCTTGCTTCGGATTGGCTGATCTCTAGCCACTGCAGCCATCTGGGGATTGAATAGTGGATGAAAGATCTCTCTGTCTCTCCTTCTCCCTGTAAGGCTGCCTTTCCAATAAAAATGAAACAAATCCTTTTTTTAAAATCTGGTTTTTGTACATGTACGTGGAGAAGGAGACATTGAAGTGCTAATGTTACACAGTGCAAGTAAGACTTCCGCCGTCCCTTCCATAGTCTTCCTCCTAAGCTGTTTCTTGTGTATTTGCCAGGGAAACATTGGGCATTTACAAACTTTATATATATTTTTAAAAAATTTTATATGTTCATGTAATACTTTTTTCAAGATTAGTTATTCAAGATTGGTTTTTTTCAAGATTATTTGAGAAATGTACACGGAGAGGGAAAGAGACAGAGAAATCTTTCATCCTCTGGTTCACTACCCAGATGGTCGTAATGACCTGGGCTGTGCCCAGCCAAAACCAGGGGTCTGGAGTTTCTTTCTGTTCTCCCGTATGAGTGAAAGAGCCCATGCACTTGGGCCATCTTCCCACCGCTTTCCCAGGCACATTTAGTAGGGAGCAGGATCAGAAGTGGGGAAGCCAGGACTCGAACCAGTGCCTGTATGGGATGCTGCTGGTGGTGCAGCAGTTTAACTCATTACTCCACAGTGCCAGCTCCTGTTGATGTAATCTGTACCACAGCCAGGAGTTCCTGTGTGATTTTTTTTCTCTCAAGTATATTCCGAGGTCCATTGAATTGCCCCCGTTTCTTAGATGAAGCCATTGAGATAGTAAATGTAACTTGCTCAGTGCCATGTTGTGATTCAAGTGCTAGAATTCAGACCGGAAGTCATGGCGTGCAACAGCACAGAGCCAAGTTGACGGGCACCTCGTGCAAGGTGACGAAGGGCCAAGTTGACGGGCACCTCGTGCAAGGTGACGCAGGGCCAAGTTGACGGGCGCCTCGTGCAAGGTGACAAAGGGCCAAGTGACAGGCGCCTCATGCAAGATGACACAGGGTTCCTCCAAGCAGGTTTACCTTTGCTGCACTTGTGTTTTTCAGCTGTTTGTTTACTCGGGTGCAGGGTGATGTTCTTCACAAAAAAAGGACAGAGATGAGTGCTGGCTGTGACCTCTCTGCCCAGCAGGTTGACCCTGGCCGCGAGAATGCACACAACACCAACTGGAATAGTGTCAAGCCAGATCTAGCCTCCCAGGGCTTCATGGAGACCCATGGTCGTTCCTTGAGTGCTGGCTGCCCACTTGCTTCTCACAGGGGCCACAGGTCTGGTGGTACTTAGACCACCTGTTGAGGATCAAGGCCCTGAGTCCATTGGCCCAGATTGGCTCATGCTTTCACCTGTCCTAGGTGTAAGCAGGTGCATCCTCCAGAGGATGGGAGCCATCGCACCCTGGCAGTGGAGCAGACAGTCTGGTGCCAGCTGGCCTACGGAGCTGGGGGCAGGGGCGTTCGGGCTGCTCAGGCACTCTGAGTGCCATACCCTGACTGCAGCAGGCATTGCAGCCCTCTTGAAAGCAGGTGGATGGGTGGTTGATAAATCTTATCAGAAATCTCCAGCAGATGGTGGGTTGGGGAGAAGAATCTTCCCCGTGGGAACTTGAGGTTGTGACATTTTTGATGCCTCTCAAAGGCTCTGGACCCCTACTGGGGAGAACCTTGAGAGAGGACATGTGTCCCATTTAGAGGTGGTGTGTAACAAGTGAAGACACACACACGCCCAACACAAGCTGTGTTGTCTGAAAAGCAGACGATGATGTCACTCCGCCTATGTAGCTGTGTATTAGAATTCATGATGCTAACAGGATGGGCCACATCACATTTCCCTGTGTTTATTGTTTCTCCTACGTGGCAGATAGCAAAGAGGGAACGCGTTCTTCTACCTTCTGGGTCTTGCTGAGTATCCTTCTGGGAGCTGTGGCCATGCTGTGCAAGGAGCAGGGGATCACCGTGCTGGTAAGAGCCAAGGTGCAGCAGGGCTGGTTTCGTGTACACATCTGACCCCACCTAGTGCGGCAGCTTGGGCTGTCTGTGGCCCTGCTTCTTTTTCTGCTTCCGTATCCCACCTGCTGGCCAGAGCCATAGACTTTTCTGGAGTGATGGCATGTGCCGACCCAGTTCTGAAGGGTTACTGACCGGTTCTCATGGCCGTGATTGGCAGTTGGTGGAGAGTAATGCGCAGAAAGTGCTTCTGGGCTGTAACTTATGGACTGTGTCTTCTTGACGGAGTCTCTAGGAAAAGGGGAAAAGAATGATTGGCTGTCTCGGGCACTTGCATGGCTTTTAACACTCCTGGATCTAACAGAGACCCGACCCCATCAGTGGGTCCTGCCCTGCTTTGATAAAGAGCAGTGGACAATTTGGAAATGAAGATACAGGAGGTCAGTTAGCCACTCAAATCTTCCCATGCAGCCACAAGCTGTGTGCTCTGCCTGCCCGGTACGTAGCACCCCAGAGCAAGGCTTCACCAGCCGGCATAATCAAAGGGTTGCATGTTCACCAGCGTTCGGTGTGAGCGTAAAGGAGTACTTAGTGATTGCGGGTTTAAAGAAGAGGCTGTTAATTGGCATTTCCAACGGGACTGCTCCTGTGGGAGCTCCTTGGAAGCGGGATGTGTGTGATGGTTGTGCATGCTCCCCTTGGAGCCTTGACGTGTTGCCATGCGGGCATGTAGGGCATGTCAGGCCAGTTCGGTGCTTTGTAAATTTGTTCCAGAGTATGTTGTATTTAATAATTGTCACTAGAATCCAGATGGAAAACTTTGATTTTAACCAGAGGTAAAACTAACGAAGTTTCAATCTATTTTGTGTCTTAAATTCTGTTCCTATCTTTTTCTATCTTTCCCTATGTTTCTTTGTTTTATAGTTTTCTATTTGTTTATAAGAGTCACTTTTTCTGAAACTTTTTTCAGATAGAAAAATTTTTTAATATAAGTTCTCTTCTTTCTGCCTTATAATCCCTTACCCAGAAATATTCATTTTTTCAAGGAATTTATTAATACATGAGATACTCTGGGTCACAACAGATCTGGAATAATTATGACCACACAGTTCTCATTATTCCCAACTTTAAAACCAAGCATTCCAACATTTCTTGTGATTTCATTTAGCTCTAATTTACATGCAGTGAAACACTTAGCTCTAAAAGCTTGGACTGAATTTGGGGCAACGAGACACGCATGGCGATTATCACCCCATCAGGTACCCTCATACCCCTATCCTGCCCAGAAACAACTTCACAATGTATTAAATATTCAAGTCAGTTAGGAACAACTGGTAAATCCGTTCTCCGAAGTATTGGCACAGAACCAGAGAATTGGATCATTTTGAAAGCTCTTCAAAAGGTTCGTGAAAAACACATACACTATGGCAAAAACTCTGCGTGGATTTTTTTTTAAAATTGCAACAAGATGGAGTTATTTTTTAATTTGACTTGTCTTATGAAGGTGACTGTCCGGTTGAGATCAGTTATTTCACATGAATTGAGCTTACAGGTCAACTTTGGCCTTGGCCATGTAATGAAACCAGTCAGATTGATTTGCTAAAGGCAGTTCTGTTGTGAGCCAAAGCCTGACCCTCCTAGAAAGGGCCCAGTGAGGACCTGTACCCAGCAGCTCGAAGCCTGTTAGGCGGTCAGGACCCCAGGCCTGCTGGGCTGCAGTCCACCCGGCCAGGTCCCCGGCGAGTCCTACCTGGTAGCATTTCATAAGCATTGCAGGATTAGGTTGTGTTCACGTGAATAAAGGTACCGTGACCCCTTCCTGTTTTCACACATTTTGTTAAAAATGTGCACATTTTGATGATGCTTTTAAATGAGAGACCCAAGGCAAGGCCAGTCAGTGTTCAGCGTGGTCCTCTTACCCACCAGACTATCAGATGGCTGTCCTGAAGCTCACAGTCAGAAAAGCCCGTGGTGTTAAAAGAGGCGGGTGCTTCTGCCTTCCAGAGCTGGTTTAGAGCCAGACAGAGATTCTGCTCTGTGACCCACATGGGTGAACTTACCGGGCGTCTCTGACATGACGGACCCGGCACTGGCCTGGATTGGATAATGAGTGTCTCCCAGCACTTATGGGAGAGGGTTAAGCAGGGATGTCACCCACCCTCTGAAACCCACAAATTAACCCTGACTTCTGATGATTTATGGTCTTTATGCTGCAAAGGCCCATGTGGAAAAGACCCACGTTGTTCCCAGTGGGCTTTACCAGGAGGCTACACTGCTCCCTGGAGAACACTCCATGCATGCATGCGTATATACACACACGCACAGCGTGGGCCATGGGGATGCTGTTCCCGCCAGAGGCTCATCGCAGAGGAGAGAGACCCCTGAGGCTCCGCTGCACTTCTGCTGGCAGTTATACCTATGTTAGCTGCAAATGCAGCCCTTCCCTGGGTCCTATGCAGACCGTTGGCCCTGGGACTGGGGGCGACAGCCTGCTGGTGTCAGCTTAGCTTCCAGATTTGCCCAGCGTGTCTCCATCCTGGCCAGTTGGCAGGGCAAGCCAAGGAGGGCACAGCCCTGCCAAAAGGAACACGAATCGCTTTTCCCCATGCTCCCAGACTAGCACCCAGCCTCACACTCCACATCCTTGCAGGGCAGGCCGTGAGGTCTGATCTGACTGTGTGTCAAGGAGCAGACAAGCGGGTGATGGGACCCAGGAGAACAGCTCCGTCTGAGAGCATAGCACACAGCTCCTCCCCACTGTGCCACCTCTGGCCAGCACTTACTGCTGCCAGGCTGTGGCTGGCTTTGTGAGGTTAGAACTGTCTCTGTCTGCCCAGGTAACTGCTCTTGCATGAACTAAAGGACTGTTCCTGGGAGCCCCAAACTACTAGCTATCATGAATCTTTAAGCCCTTGTTAAAGATTTATTTTAATTTCTTTGAAAGGCAAAGCTACAAGAGAAAGACAGATCTTCCGTTTATTGGTTCTGTCCCCAAAAGGCTGCAGTGGTTAAGGCCGACCCAGGCTGAAGCCCAGAGCCTGGAACTGCTTTCTTGTCTCCCGCATGAATGGAAGGGACCTGAGCACTTGGAGGACCCCCACCTGCCTCTGCAGTGTGCTGACATCCCATATGGGCACCGGTTCAAGTCCTGGCTGCTCCACTTCCCTTCCAGCTCCCTGCTACTCACCTGGGAAAGCAGCAGAGGATGGCAGAGGTGCTTGGACCTGCAGTCATGTGGGACACCTGCAAGAAGCTCCTGACTGCTGTCTTGGGATGGGCTTAGCTCCAGACATTACCCTTTGGGGAGCGAATTGGTGAATGGAAGATCAAAATTAATCCCTTTCTCTCCCCCCCTTCCCATCTCTCTCTCCCTCCCTTCATCTCTTCCTCCCCTTCCCTCCCTCTCTCTGTGTAATTCTGCCTTTCAAATAAAAATAAACAAATATTTAAAGAAGGCAGTACTTCTTAATGCAGACCACACGACCATTACTAATAAGTACCTTCCCAGGACTCAACCGTGATGTGATTTGTCACCATGAGCTCAGCACTTGCTAGAAACAGAGGGATTCTCTTAGGTGAGAGTGGGAGAGATCCTTGGTCTGTGATGAGCACATCCATGGCACTTTCGGCCCAATTCAGGCCAAGTCAGAGCTGGATTCTCCCAGCCTCAATGATCTGGCTTTGCCCCCTTAGGGTTTGAACGCCGTGTTTGACATCCTGGTGATCGGCAAAGTCAATGTTCTGGAGCTTGTCCACAAGGTACTGCGCAAGCGCAAGTCGTTAGAGGTGAGTGTTTGCTCTCTCCAGCCTGACGTTGGAAAAATATTCAAAGTGCTGTTTCACAGCATGTCTTTGGATCTTTTTCTTTTTGTGAGAGCCAGCTCCTGAAGGCAAGGTGTCTTGAGTGGCTGGGGCGGAACTGCCTTGCGTTGGTGCCTGACTCAGCTGCACCCGTAGCAGTTGTGGCACAGCATCAGGGGCCATGTGCTGTGCTTTCAGAGTGCCAGCGTGCTCAGGAACGGGGCCCTGCTCTTCCGAATGGCGCTGCTCACCTGCGGAGGTGCCGCTGTGCTCTACGTGCGCTGGAAGATCATGGGTACTGGCCCTCCCACCTTCACCGAAGTGGACAACCCGGCCTCCTTTGCTGACAGCCTGCTGGTCAGGGTGAGCTCCGAGCATGTCCTAGGGGCAGTTTCCAGGGCTCCCCAGCTTCCTAGTCCTGTGTCCCTCTGCACTTCACTCCCCATCACTAAGTAACTGAGAACCACTGTGCTTGCTTGCTATCACTGAGGACATTCCAGGACAAAGCCAGCTTGCCCGGAGGGCTCAGTGTGACCCCCTGTGGGTGCTGGGTCCTCTGAGCATTTGCATGAACTTGTCTCTGCACGTCCTCTGCCAGGGGCCAACCCCCTGGGCACTGCAGTCACTGATGTTCAGCAGGGTGCACGGCCAATTCCAGGCTTGCTTTTTGGGAACCTCTCTCCTCCATTACTCCTTACTACCAAGATTTTCCATTTGCCACTAGCTAAATCTGCAAATACAGAATCAGCAATTATGGGGGGGCGTGGGAGGTGGGCAGCTGCAAATGTATTTCCTTTAAAGTCAAAAGCAGAATATGGCTCCTTCTAACGTCACATTTCTTGCCTGCTCTGTTAAAATGGGCCCTGACTCTGTTCCTCTCCTTCACGGCTGGGTTAGTAGAGACTGAGCCCTTCCAGGAATTCAAGACTATTTTATTGGTTTCCTTTTGATGCACTCCCAAAGACAGAGATCCAGAGAACAGCCCCAGGCCCCTGTCCCTGTGTTGTTGAACGCACAGGTGATCCCTGAACAATGAATGTCCTGAGTCACGGCTTTGGCCATCGCTAAGTATACGGAACCAGAGCTTGGCCAGGAACAGTACAGGTGTTTTACCCAGTTCACTGTATGTGTGTGTCCTCAAGTCTGAACGCACTGACTGCAAAACAGCCTGCAGCCCGTGCCCAATATACAGATTAGCAGCACTGATTTATAGCCATTGTCCTTGAACAGTAGTACGTGAATGCCTCAGATGTGAAGGCAGGTTCATGCATATATTTCCTTGCAAATTCATTATCAAATTTAAATGCTTGTTTTTCTTTTGACTGGCAGGCCATAAACTATAATTACTACTATTCATTGAACGCCTGGCTGCTGCTGTGTCCCTGGTGGCTGTGTTTTGATTGGTCCATGGGCTGCATCCCCCTCATTAAGTCCTTCGGGGACTGGCGGGTAATTGCGCTGGCTGCACTCTGGCTCTGCCTAATTGGCCTGATACGCCAAGCCCTGTGCTCTGAAGACAGCCACAGGAGAAGGTAAGAGGCAGCACTGAATTTCAGCTTCCTCCCTGGGCATGGCCAGCAGCACTATGTTCCATCCAGTGCTGATCATCCCAGGTAGCTGGTGGAAGTGGGGTTGGTCCCAGGAGTTCCCCTTCCAATTCCTCTCTGGCCAGGATGAGTTACATGCAATCAGGGTCCTCGTTGACTTCACCTAGGTGGGAAAGGGGCAGGAAGAGGGCGTCCAGATGGCTGCCTTGTCTTCCCCACCCTTTCCTCACAAGTGGTGAAGAGTCATTAATGGTCAGCAATGAGCATGCAATTGATGTGTGTGTCCTTCAGTGACAATTGTCCTTTGCTGAATGCTGTAGTGAGTCCTCTGTCACTGTTGGGTGCAGCATAGCCTGCTACCCGAGGAGCAGGCTTTCTTGGTGGGGCGAAAGTGACTGGGGAAAGCCAGTGTGTTTCACGAAAATTGCAGATAATTTCTTTTAAGCATGTGTTTATGGAATTAGATTAGTAATTTGTCAAAGTAAATTTTTAAGTTCACCTATGTCTAAAATTGTCTGGTGATTCCGAAGACCAATAGACTTTAGTCCCAGCTCATTTAGATATAAGAAAAGGAATTTTAAAGAAAATCCTATAAGCCCAGCAGACAAGAAGAAACCAAGCCTGGCTGAGTTTCTTCATCCATCCTGATGTATCATGGGGGACCCTGGAAATGATCTGTTGGTTCTAGAGGTATACCAGTGCTCAGCTTGCTTTCGGACATTTGCAAGGAAGTAAAGCCAAAAATGGTTTTTTACATTCGGGTTTTCTGGCAGTTAAACAACTTAGATCTTGGGATTCCTCTCAAGTCTGGTTGTGGGAAGGGAATTCCTTGAAAACTTCACTGACCTCATTGGGCCAGTGGGCACTGAATTATTCAATACTTAAGGAGTTCCTTCTGGGTGCAGGTGCCCAGGCACTTGGGCCGTTCTCCACTGCTTCCCAGGCACATTAGCCATATTAGCCATGAGCTGGATCAGAAGTAGAGTAGCTGAGAATCACACAAGTGCCCATATGGATGTTGGCCCTGCAGGCTTTTATCTGCTAAGCCACAGTGCCCACCAGCACCATGCTTTATCCTTACACTTGGTAACAGGCAATTTGTAATATTTTTGTGTCCTATCCCTGTTCTGCCAGGCAGACCAGATCCTCGCCACTGGTGACATTTCTGGGCCAGCAGTGCCACCTTTCCTCTATTGGTGGCCTGAAGCACAAATGTCTCTCTCCTGAGTGTAGCATTGGGCAGGACACGTTTCTTGAAACATTTGAAAGCAGCTGTTCACATCTGTTCTTTTGATTTCCTAGGACCCTCACGCTGGGCCTGGGCTTCCTCGTTATCCCCTTCCTGCCAGCAAGCAACCTCTTCTTCCGTGTGGGCTTTGTGGTGGCTGAGCGAGTCCTCTACCTGCCCAGCATGGGCTACTGCGTGCTGCTGACCTGTGGGCTCGGAGCCCTGAGCAGGCATACCAGGAAGAAGGTACTGCCAGGCCAGGTGTGTGTGCACTCCCAGCTGCTGGACACGGCTCTCTGAGGCCGTCTGCCTGTCCATCTCTCCATCTCTCTCCAGAAGCTCGTGGGCGCCATCGTCCTGGGGATTCTAGCTCTCTACACTCTCAAGTGTGTGATTCGCAGCAGTGAGTGGCGGAACGAAGAGCAGCTCTTCCGAAGCGCCCTGTCCGTGTGTCCCCTCAACGCCAAGGTACCTGGGAGACTCACTGGGCAAAGGTGTTCAGCTCTCTATGCCGAGTAGTCTAGTGTCAGACCATGGTCAATGACTTGGGCTTTTCCTGGCGTTCATGATTTTGGCAAGATTCCATACCACGTTGAGTGGTAGGAAGGCACAGGGTTAGGTTCGAAGGCTTCTCCAGCAGTGTAGCTTGCTGTGGTGAAGTTACCATGCCTCGTTTCTTGGCTCTCCTGACCTGGAGCCGTGGAGACAGTTCAGGGAGAACTCCTCATGGGTGTGGCTCACTGGAGTGAAGAAAGGACAGTGCATCCAGGCCGAATAGTGTGGGTGAAACTAATCAACAGAGTGTGATGGCGACCTGGAATTGAAAACCAGTGTGTGAAAAGGCGGCTGACCTCTTGTCGGTCCCGAGCTTGGATCCAGACCTCCCCATTGTGGCTTGTCAACGAGAGATGGAGATGAGAGAATGAGTTATTTGTGCTTTGCTTTCATTTGATTTTCTGACCTATCAGTTTGTTTTCTGCTACTAAGAATGAATCTCCAGTGACTTAACTCCATCTGTGCTAGGAGATGCACTCTATTTTTGCTTTCCTTCAGCGTAGAGGTTGTTGCCCTTTTGTGTGCAGTTGGTTCGCTCCCAGGTTGATGGGTGTCTGGTGACAGAGTTCTTCAGTGCTGGGGTAGGAAGCCCAGCCTGGCACGGCGGGCAGGCACACAGTTAGGAGGGTAGAGGTGGCTCTGGTGTTACCCTAGTTCAGGGCATGTCGGCTGAGAGCCAGAGTATTTGCAGAACAAGTGAAGCCGCCTCCTGCCATGCTGTCATCCCATGGGGTTCATGTTCTGGCTGCTCCGCTTCTGAACCAGTGCCCTGTTCCTAGTTACCTGGGAGAAGCAGAGGAAGAGGGCCCCCGCCACCCACAAGGGATGAAGCTCTCAGCCCCAGGCTTTGGCTTGGCTCCGCCCTGGCCATTGCAGCCACCTGGGGAGGGACCCAGCAGGTGGAAGACCTCTCTGTCCCCCTCTCTCACTCTGTAACTTGACTTCAAATACATAAACCTTTTTGAATAAGACCTTGTCTGGAAAAACACCCATGGAGATAATCCTTTCTAAGATTTCTTCCAAGGATAGTATTAGTGTGAGCAAGACAAAGTTATTGCTGCATATTCAACTGTTCACTGTAAGGCATCCTAGAATCACCTTTACTTCCTGGTCTTGAAGAAGCCGATTGATTTCAGGGAAGTGATCTCATTTAGCGAGATACTGGCTGCCTTCCACCCCAACAGGGAATGTGTTTTCTACAGCTGTTTGTTTCCTCTTGTTTTTCACAGAGCAGTGTGGGAGCGTTTGGCGCTGGCTCTGGTTTAGGCCCAGGTCTATAAGGTGCACAGTCTGCAGATGATGGAAGCATCAGTGAAGTGTCACTGCCTGGCCTGCTTGGAGCTACCCCAGCGCCTCGCCTGTGGCGGACTCTCCATGTTAGTTATTGAGTCTAATTAAGTGGGAATTGAGCTCCCCACACCCGCAGTGGCCAAGACACCAAGGAACTACATTCACCTTCGCTCATCTTTAGTTTTTCAGGCTCAGAGCTCTGTGGGACTCCATAGCATTGCTGAAACAGTTCTTAATTCTTTCAACAATGAAAAGGATCCTACCCCCACTATGGCCTATTTTAAAGTCTGATATTGGCAGAATATTTGATACAGAGAGTGTATTCAATATGTTCTGGTATTCAATGTGCCGTTTTCTTTTTGAGATGATTTATTTGAAAGGCAGATTTAGATAAAGAGGAAGAGAGACAAAGTTCCATCCACTGTTTAATTCCCCAAATGGCTGCGATGGCCAGGAGCCTGGAATTCCGTCCTGGTCTCCCACGTCAGTGGCAGAGGCCCGTGTACTTGGGCCATCTCCCACTGCTTTCCCAGGCACATGAGCAGAGAGCTGGATTAGAAGCGGAGCACCCAGGACCCTAACCAGTGCTGAAACTGGTGTTGCAGGTAGCAGCCTAACGCGCTCCACTGGCCCCCAACATTGCTTTCTTGGTTGATACTTTTATGCGGTTTATTTACAGGCCGCTGAGCCAGCACTGATTTTTATCTTTGGCTTCTCCTGTGAGGGCTCCTTGCTTCAGTGGGTGAATCCAAAGGCAAAAGGAAAGTTGGAAAATAAACATAACAAAAAAATCACCTAACCACTATTTCAAGTAACTTGTTGTGAAGTATTTGTTTCATTTGGCCATGTAGATAACTGTTTTCTATCCAAACCGTTCCCTCCATAAAATCCATAGGATCAAAGCTGTTCACTGGTGCCCCATTGTGCATGCCTTTTCAGGCACTGCTTCCCTGGAAATGAGGGCACTGAATTCTCCAGGCAGCCTGATCATCTTCCTCGGGCCGAGCCAGAGCACTGCCATGCTGTGGAGGGCAGCTGCATTCCTGGTCGAAGCTTTTTCCTGAGGAAACAGAGGTGGCCCGTAGCAAAGAATGCAGCAGGAGCCTGGGGGCGCAGCAGGAGCCTGGGGGCGCAGCAGGAGCTGTGTCTCCCTCTGGGGTCCAGCAGGGCGTGGCTCCCAGTGTGGAACCTCTGGCTGTGCATGGGATGGGAAGTGATGTCACGCTTGCCTTCTGGGACTGGAGGAAGCTCAGAGTGTGTTCCCTGGTGGCCAGCATGCTCTCCCTGGTGGCTGGCGTGTGCTCCCTGGTAGTCGGTGTGCTCTCCCTGGTAGCCGGCATTTGCTCCCTGGAGGTCGGCGTGTGCTCCCTGGAGGTCGGCGTGTGCTCCCTGGAGGTCGGTGTGTGCTCCCTGGAGGTCAGCGTGTGCTCCCTAGTGGCTGGCGTGTGCTCCCTGGAGGTCGGTGTGCTCTCCCTGGTGGCTGGCGTGTGCTCCCTGGAGGTTGGCGTGTGCTCCCTGGTGGCTGGCATGTGCTCCCTGGAGGTCGGCGTGTGCTCCCTGGTGGCTGGCATGTGCTCCCTGGAGGTCGGCGTGTGCTCCCTGGAGGTCGGTGTGTGCTCCCTGGAGGTCAGCGTGTGCTCCCTAGTGGCTGGCGTGTGCTCCCTGGAGGTCGGTGTGCTCTCCCTGGTGGCTGGCATGTGCTCCCTGGAGGTTGGCGTGTGCTCCCTGGTGGCTGGCATGTGCTCCCTGGAGGTCGGTGTGTGCTCCCTGGTGGCTGGCATGTGCTCCCTGGAGGTTGGCGTGTGCTCCCTGGAGGTTGGCGTGTGCTCCCTGGAGGTTGGCGTGTGCTCCCTGGTGGCTGGCATGTGCTCCCTGGAGGTCGGCGTGTGCTCCCTGGAGGTCAGCGTGTGCTCCCTGGTGGCTGGTGTGTGCTCCCTGGAGGTTGGCGTGTGCTCCCTGGTGGCTGGCATGTGCTCCCTGGAGGTCAGCGTGTGCTCCCTGGTGGCCGGCATTTGCTCCCTGGAGGTTGGCGTGTGCTCCCTGGAGGTCGGCGTGTGCTCCCTGGTGGCTGGCATGTGCTCCCTAGAGGTCGGCGTGTGCTCCCTGGTGGCTGGCATGTGCTCTCTGGAGGTCGGTGTGTGCTCCCTGGAGGTCGGTGTGTGCTCCCTAGAGGTCGGCGTGTGCTCCCTGGTGGTTGGCATTTGCTCCCTGGAGGTCAGCGTGTGCTCCCTGGTGGCCAGCATGCTCTCTCTGGTGGCTGGCATGTGCTCCCTCCCTGGAGGTTGGTGGCTGGCATGTGCTCCCTCCCTGGAGGTTGGTGTGTGCTCCCTGGAGGTCGGCGTGTGCTCCCTCCCTGGAGGTTGGCGTGTGCTCCCTGGAGGTCGGTGTGTGCTCCCTGGTGGCTGGCGTGTGCTCCCTGGTGGCCGGCATGCTCTCCCTGGTTGCTGGCATGTGCTCCCTGGAGGTCGGTGTGTGCTCCCTGGTGGCTGGCATGTGCTCCCTGGAGGTCGGTGTGTGCTCCCTGGTGGCCGGCATTTGCTCCCTGGAGGTCAGTGTGTGCTCCCTGGAGGTCGGCGTGTGCTCCCTGGTGGTCGGTAGCGTTAGTGAAGCCTTTGGAGTTGGGTAACTGATGTGGGAATGGACAGTAGTTTGGTTCAGGAAGCAGCTGTGGTCCTGCGTGGTGCACATAGCACACATTTATACCGCCCGTGGATTCTTTGCTTGTAGCTCCTTTTATCGCGTTAGGTAGATATCCGCCTTGCTAGATTTTTTTGCAGTTTCTTTCATTTTATTTACACAAAGGGAGCAAATCTCACTTATTTCATATATACTGCTTTAAGAGTAATGATAGTTCATACCCTCCCTTGCCCGCTCACTCCTATTCTCTCTCCTCCTTTTTTTTTTTTTTAAAGTTTTTTTTTTATGTGAAAGGCAGAACTAGAGAGAGTTTTTTCATCAGCGTCTTACTCAAACATCCCTGCCACAGCCTAGACTGGTCTGGGCCGGCAGGGACCAGGAGCCAGGAACTCTGTGTGGGGACTGCTGTGAGTGGCAAGTCCTTCAGGCATCTTCCTGTGCCCAGGGTGCGCCTTGGCGGGAGCTGGATCAGAAGGGGGGTCAGGGTGTTCACCAGCACTCTGATGGAGCAGGCATCCCATGCAGCGGCTGTGACCCAGTGTGCTGCCAACTTTACCCCTATTTACAGACAGAGGTCTTCCTCTGCTGGTTCACACACCCCACACACCACCACCATCAAATGGCTACAGCAGCCAGTGCTAAGCTAGTCCAATACCAGGAGCCAGGAGCTTCTGGGTCTCCCACGTGGGCGCAGGGGTCCGAGCACCTTCTACTGCTTTCCCAAGTTAATACAAGAAACTGGATGGGAAGTGGAGCTATGACTCGAACCACACTTGAAGAGCTCCTTGGGAGCTAGCATTTTGGCATATTGAGTAAAATTGTCACCTACAGCATGTCCCATGTAGCCACTGATTCGAGTCCTGACTGCTTCACTTCCAGTCCAGCTCCGTGCTAATGGCCTGCGAGAGCTGCTATCTTTTTACCTTTTTGTCTTTGGTGAAGACATGTAACAAATTTCCAGGCTTTCAGGAAAGCTTATCCTTTAAATCGTTCCCTCTGTTTGCAGGTTCACTACAATATTGGCAAAAACCTGGCTGACAAAGGCAACCAGACGGCCGCCATCCGGTACTACCGCGAGGCTGTCAGGTACTGGCGTCCTTCTCGCGACACTTTCCTGGGGAACTCGGGCCGAGCTGGGACCTGCTGAGCATTCACAGGGGGTTTGGTGTGTCTGTCGGCTTGCAGATTAAACCCCAAGTACGTTCACGCCATGAATAATCTTGGAAACATCTTGAAAGAAAGGAACGAGCTCCAGGAAGCTGAGGAGCTGCTGTCGCTGGCCGTGCAGATACAGTAAGCAGTCCTCCTGACCCAGCGCTCACCTGCCAGCCTCCCCCTTTGACTGTGAATTCCTCTTCCAGGCCGGACTTCGCTGCTGCTTGGATGAACCTGGGCATAGTGCAAAACAGCCTGAAACGGTTCGAGGCTGCCGAGCGGAGTTACCGGACAGCCATCAGACACAGGAGGAAATACCCAGACTGTTACTACAACCTCGGGCGCCTGGTAAGCCGCAGCAGCGAGGGCTGAGCTGAGCCTGCGTCGTGATGGAATGACAGTGGCGCAGCCCACCAGCGCCCTGTGGTTTGTCAGTGCTCCTCCCCACGCAGGAAGAAACTTCTCGAAAGTTGAGAAAGAGGGAATTCATCATGAAGTTTGATTTAGTGCAAAAAGCCTTTAAAATCCATGCGTAGTTCTGTTTTGTTCTGTTCCCTTCGCCTTTTGGAATCCTCACCTGCTTGTGTCACTTGCAAGTGGGTATTTGATGTCCTTCCGTGTTATTTTCAAAGCACCACAGCTCAAGTGTTTCAAGTGGAAGAGATCATCAGGACAAATAGTTGGAACAAACGAATATGTTAATTTTTAGGTTGTTTTTCCTTTTTGAAATGATTGCTTAAATCTGTGAGCAGGAGAGAACGAGCTCTCATCCACTCACTCATTCCCCAGCCTCCCTGCCACACTGATGACGTGGGAGACAGACCTGGGGCATGGGCAAGTGTGGATGAGGTCCCGCCCATGAGCATGGGGGATCCTATTTCTGTAAACTGTGCTGACCCAGAGCTTGAGAAACACACAAGGCTAGAGCGCATCTTTCTCCTTTTTGGAAGTAACTCTTCTAGGCAATTCATACCGAGTGGGTGAGGGGCAGGTTCCAGCCGGTCACCTAACGACTCCACTGCATAGCAGGTGGCTCACCTCCCTGGCTGCCTGTCCGTGCAACTGTCCTCAGATCTGGAAAGTGCAGAATTCATGCTGAGTGAGCGTTCTGAAAGAGACACAGCCAAAGAAAGAAATATAGAAAATACAATCTTGGCTTTAAAAAACAGTTTGGCTTATTTAACTGAAATGTAGTGGTAGAGAGAGAGGAAGAAGCAGAGAGGGAAATAGAGCTTCCATCCACTGGTCCAATCCACAAATGGCTGCTCTATCAGGAATGTGCCAGGCCGAGGCCAGGAGCCAGGAGCTTCTCCTGCGTCTCCCATGTAGGTTGTAGGGTCTGAAGCACTTGGACTGCCCTCCACTGCGTTCCTGAGCACATTAGCAAGGAGCTGGACTGGAAGTGGAGCAGCTGACTCAAGCCAGCACCCCAATGGGCTGCTAGTGCTATGGGCAGTGGCTTAACGCACTGTGCCACATTGCCAGCCCCCAAATACTGATAGTCTCCTTGGGTTTCGTTTTGCTTAGAAGAGCATCGTAGTGTTGAAGGGCCAGAGCCCTTGGACTGTGCTTGCTGATGGCATTTACTGGTTACACCACCGTGGCCTTCCCGTCTTCCTGTCCACCCACTGTTCTGCTCACTTGTGCTGTAATTACTCCACCTTTGCCCACCCAACAGCTTGGAAGCATTGAGAGCCAAATGTAACAGCGCACACAACCCACTTAAATATTGGCTGTTTAAAACATCAAAGGTTTCTTTTTTAGAAATTAGTCTTCAGTTAACAGGAGACTGAGATTTTTATTTTTTTTATTTTTGGGTCCTGATTGGAAAAGATTCTAGTACAGTTCATTCCTGTAGGGATTATTCGGACTGTCTTGCTGACTTGGAGAAGGCCAGTTGTAGTGAATGATAGCGGGCTGTTTGTGCTGAGCAGGTGTGTTCCAGCACACTGTCCTAAACAGGCAGCTCGTGGAGAACTCAGCCACCGAACGGGATCCAGAGAGCGATGCTGGAGGGTGGTGCCGGTGCAGAGGACACCAGTCAGATGGAGCTCTGTGCGGCTGGGGAAGCAGCAGGAGCTGCTGGCATGAGGAATGCAGAAAGTGGGGCTGTCTCCAGAACCCAGACTAAGGAGTGAGAAGGGGCCATGCTGTCAGCCCAGAGGCTGTGGGGCAGGAAGGAGCCAGCCAGTGCGAGGGGACAGGGTGGCACCCCGTGTTCCTCTGATGCACATGAGCTAGGTGGCGCCGGAACCTGGGAACCTTGGATTTCACTCATTGGTCTTGGAGTCACAGAGCAGAAGACAGAAAGGCAGGCACCAGGGAGGGTGTTTGAAGAAGAGCAGGCCTGGAACAGTACCCTGTGTGAAGGGCTCTGTGGCATTATTACGACCACAGCCCTGTTAGCTGCCCCAGGTGTGCCAGAAGGCCACCACCTGCAAAATTCCAGACTGACTCAAATGCATGGCAGTCGGCAGAGAGAATTGATTGGAAAAATCACTGGACTATCCAAAATAGCCAGCTAAATGTTAGTGTAATTACACATCCCAAGTTTTGTTTTAATACGTATTTTTTTATTATTATTATTTGAAAGGCAGTTACAGAGAGAGATAAGAGACAGAGAGATCTTCCTTTTGCTGGTTCACACAGCCAGAGCTGGCTGGTCCAAAGCTAGGGAACCAAGAGCTTCTGGGTCTGCCCCCATGGCGCAGGGGAACTTGGCCTACCTTCCACTGCTTCTTCAGGCCATTAGCAAAGAGCTGGATCAAAAGTGAAGCAGTTGGAGCTCAAACCAGGACCCATGTCGACGCCAGCGCCATAGGCAGAGGCTTATCCTATTGTGCCATGGCACTGCCCTCCCCCACCCAATTATTTTTACTCTTGGGACTTTTTATGTCTGTTTTTCATTGAAGAGCTTGAATATTGTTGCCTGAGTTTGAGTCTCGTAGGAAATCTGATAGCTGCTGTAGCAAATGGGTATTTGCAAAATGCCCCATAATGCATCAGACCTTCCTGGTTCTTGCATAGTGAAACAAGTGAAAATATTTCCATTGGTAGAAAGGCGTCGTTGACAGACAGGAAACCACCTCAGACTCTGACAAACAGGCATGCTCGGTACGTTTGCAGCATTAAAGGCAGCAGGTACACGCAAATGCAACGTGCACTTGACCCGAGCTGCAGACTAAGGGGAAGATCGCCAGCTACACATTCTGTCACTTTGACCTCTGTGGTTTGTATTCACAGCAAGCTGTGAGCCAGCCATTTGGCTAAGCAAGCACCAGCTCGGTTTTCTGCTTCCCCAGGGTGGCAGACAGGCCATGGGTGACTTCCCAGCGATCTCTGCGTGTGTACATAGGTGTTGAGGTCAGGGACAGGCTGGGAGAAGTACCTGGCCATTCTTCACAAGTTTGCCTCACACACAGTGCTCTGTTTTCAGTTTAAATAGCACTTACCTAAGAGGCCTGGCGTGATAGCTCCTGGGCAGAGCCAGCATGTGGTCTGTCCTCAGTATTATGGTCACCCCAAATGGGACCACATACTCAGAATGGGGCAGTAAGCAGTGGCTCGTGGTCATGATGGCTCCAGCGCAGGAAGTAGGGCACTTATCTCATTCTGCTCCTTGCTGTGCAGGTCCTAGATATGCAACATGGGGCAGGGGATTTAATTCCCCTGTGCCTTTGTGCCTTATCTGTCAAACAGGGATAATAATAATAATACCTGTTCCATCAGGATTGTTTCAAGGATTAGCTGGCCCCGTATGAACAAATTAGAAACTGCGTTGGTGAAACTCAGGGTGTCTTTGGCTGTTGGGGAGCAGGGTGGGAGAGTTCTTTCCTTGCTTATTTGTCTGTTGGCGGTTTCTCTGAGAGAGAAAGCCGAGTTTTGCAATGCTGGTGTTTCTGCCTGTGCTTGGTTTGCAGTATGCGGACCTCAACCGTCACGTAGATGCGCTGAACGCCTGGAGAAACGCCACCGTGCTGAAGCCCGAGCACAGCCTGGCCTGGAACAACATGATCATCCTCCTGGACAGCACAGGTGCCAGGGGCATGCCCAGGCTGTGCTCTGGGCCCTGCGGGGACGCAAATCCATGGGTTTCCCTATAAAAGGGGCCAGCCTTGGGGCATGTTAAGCTACCACTTATGACCCTGGCATCCCATATGAACCCCAGCTCCAGTTCTGGCTGCTCCACTTCTGATTCAGCTCTCGCTGCTGATGCACCCGGGACCATAGCAGACATCCTCTGTTCCCATATGGGGGACTCAGATGTAACCCCTGTCTCCTGACTTCAGTCTGGCCCAGGCTTAATCTAGCTATCTGGGGAGTAAACCAACAGATGAAATTCTCTCTTTCAATCTCTCTGTTACTCTGCTTCTCAAAGACATTTTTTGAAAAGTAGGTAAATAAATATGGAGTTAAACAGTGTATGTTAGAGAAACAGCTGTTCTGGAAAATGCAGTTTTCTGATGTGTGGGAAAAGGATGCACTGCTTACAAGCAGTGTTGTGTCTAGAAGTGGGGTTGGTGGGGGCTCGTCCCTGGCATCTCCAGAAGCTGATCTTCTAGCCAGAGGCATCACTGTGGCACTGGGCTCCCAGATGGCAGCAGAGTGGCTGCTGGGTTTCTGGGCCGGCCGGGGTAAGGCGTATGCTCCCAGGTTCACAGGGAGGCCTGCGTATCTGCACACAGAGCCTATTGGAACTGCTAGTGGGTTCAGGCCCATCCACCAAACCAGGAGCTCGGCTGCCCTTGTTTGGGAAATCCAACCATCTCTTAGGAGTGATGCCGGCAGTCAGGCAGAATTTAAAATGAACAGGTGGACACTCCTCCCTCTCCCTTCCCTTCCTACTCTCCCTTCTCTCTCCCTCTCCCTGCCTGCCTTCCTGAGGCAGAAACCCAGACAGAGCTCTCATCTGTTGCTGGTTCACTCTCCAGGTGCCCATACCTCCCAGGAGACCCGAACTCAATCCAGGTGTCCCATGAATGACCAAGATTTCAACCTTGGAGTTGGCCATGCCGCCTCATGGGTCTGCACTGGCTTGAAGCTGGAACCGAGGCCCCCTCCTATGGGACGTGGGCCTCCCAGCTGGGGGTTAAGTGCTGCTCGGAACACTGCCCCCCAACATTTGTTCTAAGGAGGCCCAGGCTGTGCACTTCCATAGGAGAAAAAGCCGGAGCGGGAAGTGTTCCTGTACCTCTCCGGTTCCATAAACCTTTTTTTCTCTGGTTTGGGCTGGTATTTGGGGAAGAATTAAAACCGGATGTTGCATGGTTTCACAGAATCGGATCCACAGCTGGCTTGGTCAGGAGTGTGCTGGGCTCCGGCCACGTGTGTGTGAGTGCGTGAGTTCCTGTGCATTTTACATGCTGCATGTAGAGTTTCCTAGCTAGCTTAGTTTTAATTTTTATGTGTAATTCATGCAGGCCTGTTAGATACAGTGAGGGTAAAACATGGTATGGCCTACATGTATATATATTTTGTTTTTCTGCTCCCAGGTAATTTAGCCCAAGCTGAAGCAGTTGGAAGAGAGGCACTGGAATTAATCCCCAACGATCACTCTCTCATGTTCTCGTTGGCAAATGTGCTGGGCAAGTCCCAGAAGTACAAGGTGTGTAAAGCGCAGGCTGTTCTGTAGACCAGGCCAGCATGTGACCAAGCCACAAAGGCCCTTCAGCCCAGCTGCCTCAGAATCGGGAGAGCTGGGGCGGCTTGGGCCATTGCTGTCCAGGACAAGGAGGCAGAGGCGGTGAGAGTAGGGTTACCCGGCAAGGAGGAAGGCTTCTGACCAGCTAGAGTCAGGCAACATTACCCTCCACCTGCGTTCTGCCAGCCCCAGGAGGGGCGCCTGGATCCTTGTTCCAGGGATGGCAGACTCGGTGGAGCCTGTGGAGCAGGTGCAGGCCCCGCCCCAGGAGTTAGGCTAGGGTTTGCACACCGCACACTGTCCCCTGGCACCTGGTGGCACAGGGACCATCTGGCTCACCTTGTCCTACGTGAGCTGTTCAGACACAGCGGCAGCCTCAGGTTTGTCTTGACCACCGCTGGGCTGCAGGGAACGCACAGGGCCCAAAGTTAGTGGTGAATCCTCAGTCGTCCGGTGTCCCGACTAGCTGCGTTTGCTGTCGTGCTGAGATGTGCCCTGCCACCTCCCTTCATTGCAGCGAGCTGTGACTTTGCTCCAGAGACAGCTCCCTGAGGGGTCTGGCTTGGACTTTTGTATTTTTTCTATTTAGGGGTATACTTGGACAAGTGTGTGTGGGGAAAGTTTGAGGATCTCCTCCCAGCAGTCTTCCCAGGCGTGGAGGGGTAAAGAGCTCAGCTCTGTTCCAAGGATCTAGCTATGGCATGTCATCAGGGTGTAGCTCACTGATGGCCAAGGCCAGGGCACTGGACCTAAAATCCCAAAAACGTCATCTGACGGGAGGCACTGGCCATGTACTTGCCCCCATATTCCTGGGTAGGATGTCGTGCTTGTGGACCTGGAACCTTAAACACCTGCTGGGTTTTCTTCCCACTTAGTGCAGGAAGCAACCTCATTGCTTAGCCCTGGGTCTGTCTGCTGCAGGATCTTGCAGACGCCTGGGCAGGGGCTGTAGAATGGAGGGGAGGTGGGAGCCCAGCCTAGCCGTTGGTGCCAGGCAAGGCAGGGGCCTGCTGGCTGGGTCACTTTTGATCTGTGCACTGGCTCTTTGATTTAGTCACTACCATGCACAGTCTTTTTCAGCTGTGTTGGGATCCCTGAAAGTCGGGGCCCAGGCTCAGTCATGTGTGTGTGTCTGTCCCCGGCCACCCTGCTGACAGGCAGATGCAAAGCCCCCAGTCAGTGGCCAGGACATGCCAAATGCATTCTTCCCGTGACCCGGAAGAGTTGAGGCTTCCGGAACGTCCCCTGAGGCTTGGCCATGCAGGCTGAGCATCGTTTGGTGTGCCATTCCAGGAATTTGCAGCTTATCCAGGAAGCTCTTTTGGCCCAGCAGTAGTCACTTCCCTGTTGCTGGCTTCATGTTCCCCTGTGGATGGTAGACAAGGCTCTCACCCAGCCTTCCATCAGGCGACCCAAAAAACCCAAAAATGTCATTTGTAGCTATGGAACTGATACACATGTAGGCACAGTAATAGCAACCATGCCATGAGTCTTTACAGATGATGATTAAAAGGTATCAGAATGTACATCTTGCCATTTAATTTCTAAGTTGGCGCTAATACGGTAGGACCAGACCACAGAACAAACGCCTTAGAGCTCTGAAGCAACTGCCGCCCAGGGATTGCCTGCGCTCACTGAGTTGCTCTTTCTGCCAGCCCTGTGGGTCCATGGCCGATTCCCAGTCCAAGGCTGTATGCCACACCCGGGGCTGCCCAACTTGCTCCTTATTACCAGCAGTTTGTCCTAGAGCAGAGGTAACTGACAGCAAGTAACTGCTGATGCTCCGAGCCTGAGGCTGCCTTCTCCCAGGCAGGTGTTAGAGGGGCTGAAGCGCAGGCCTCACAAGGTGCAGCCCCTCAGAGGAGGAAGGAGAGCTGAGTCAGGGCCTCCACTCCTTACCATGTGAGTCAGCCTCCCGTTACCACCTGCCCTCCATTGCGCAGCCCTGGGTATGCGGCAGCCATTGGCAGTGCCAGGCACGGACCCGGAAGTCCTTGGGGAGCCGCTGCCACCCTGCTGCTTCTCGTTTGCCAAGGCAGGATGTCCCGCCCTGGCTTCAACCTAGAGGCCTCACTGGCGAGGTGCGCTCGGCCCAAAATCTGTCAGCATGTCTGTCCCGATGCCCTCTGGGAGGTGCTCATTTCCCTTGCTGAGAGTGGTGGCTCCTGGGGTGAGCTTAGGGGTTCGGCCACACCAACAAGCTTATTGCCAGGCTCTGGAGACCTGGGATGCCTCCAGCTCAAGGCCAGAGAAAGGGCAGAGTCGGCTGAGGAGCCCTCTGTGGATTCCCAAGAACCCTCCCAGGCACCTCTCCCCATCCATGGTCAGGGAACCCCTGCCTGTCCATGATCAGGGCTACCTCTTCCCATCCATCATCAGGCCCCCTGCCTGTCCATGCTCACCACCCTGCCTTGCCCACCTGCTACCTGTCCCATTCTGCAGCTCACAGGCTGACTCCCCATTCTCCCCCCGCTTCGTTGTCCCCCTGGGAACCCTGGTTTCCACCTGTTCTTGCCCAGCTTTCTTACCTGAGACACCCAGGCCCTGTGCAGCCAGGAGCCCCTAGTGAGCCCCAAAACCCAGCACCTCCTGCCCACAGAGCCACCATCACGTAACAGATTCAGCCACTCGAGGCAGGCGGTGGCAGCCACGAGCGTGTCCATCCTCTCTGTACTCCTCGTCCCCTTCCTCTTGCCCCTGTCCCCTTGGCTCCCCACTGGTTCTTCAGAATGTCACCCCAGCACAATGCGTTTCTGGACGGAGGCGGGGCACACAGCAAACAGATGAGATGTTTGCAAACTGCAGATCCAAGTCTGACTCACTTGTATTCCTTGTATGTGCATTTCTTTCTTTTTTTTTTTTAGGAATCTGAAGCTTTATTCCTCAAGGCAATTAAAGCAAATCCGAATGCTGCAAGTTACCATGGCAATTTGGGTAAGGAGACGTTTCCGTTTCAATCATATTGGGATTCTGTAGTATTGTAACAAAATGGGCGTGTTTCTATATAATGTCATTGTTAGGAAAGTTGTTTTTTTTTCCAAGGCTAGTCTCGTTGACCTTCATAACCTGGTCTTAAGTACGGTTTGGTGGGACCCTGGGGCAGCAGCGATGGCTGAAGTATTGGGGTCCCAGTGGCCCACCTGCAAGACCTGCAATGCCCTTGTGGCTCCCACCCTGAGTGCTGCTCCAGCCCCAGGCCGTTTTGGGCATTAGGGTGTGAGTGCAGATGGGAGAACACTGTCTTTCTCTTAAAAAAGAAAAAAATGAATGAAAGCTTTCATTGAGCTTTACATATATCTGTAAGTCTTACAAGGCACCTAATGATAGCTTACTTACAAACTGGAAGTCTCCATCACCAAAACAATCCTAAACCTCCCCTCCTTCTTAGGACTAAGATTCAACTTCCCTCCGCTCTGTCCCAGCACGTCAAGCTGAGAGGCCAGCTGGCCTCTTCCCCCAAAGCAGAGGAAAAGTCCGACTAAATGCAGTTCCATGATTGACTCCCTGGAGTTCCTCTCTTCGTCTCCCCGCCGCCCCCATGGTTAGGGTTCCTGCGGCAGAGCTTACTGATGTTTGGAGGCTCAGTCCTGCGAGGGTTTTTAGCTAACCTGCCCCCCACTACTTCCAAATTTCTCGTCCCTGAAGCCGCTGCCCTTCTGCCGTGCAGAAAGCTTTTCTTACAAACTCATCGGTGCAGCCTGGCTCCCGTGCCAGCCGTTACGCTCACTGCAGCCGTCAGTGGGTGAGCACATCCTGGGGCCACAGCCCTGCTTTTCACCTGTGACTTTGCCGGCGTTGTAGGGAGGTCTTATTTAAAATACATGGCAAGACGGGCATTTGGCCTAGCATTCCAGACATCTACGTCACATGTCAGACTTGGGTTCAAGCCCCGGCTTCACTTTGATTCCAGCTTTCTGTTGGAACTTTCCCCGGGAGGCGGCAGCTAGCGGGCCAAGTTCCTGGATCCTGCCATGTATATGGGAGACCTGGATTGAGGCTTCCAAGGGGCCAAGCCCCAACTGTTGGCAAGCATTTGAGGAGTGAACTGGCAAATGGAAATATTTCTCTGCCTTTGTCCCTCAATTTTATTATTACTATTTTCCATTTTTTATTTTTAATTTTATGGTACAATTCCATCGGGTCTGGGACTTCCCCAACTCCCACCCCCTGAGTGATTCTCCCCACGTTGTTACAATAGTATAGTCCTTCCTAAGCAATCGTAAGTCCTTCAGTCTGTTATTTAAGTGTGCCCCGCCATTGCTGGTGCAGACAATGTCAGACAGTCCAGCATCCCGTTGTCTAGATATGCCCAGCAGTTCCATTGGGAGTCCATCTTTGATTTGGAAGTAGGGATGCATATTGCCCCTCAACTTTTTGTTAATGAAACAAGTGGCTTGCTTCTTCCCTTCACAGTTTTTTGAAAAAAAATGAGACAGCGCTGTGACGGAGTGGGTAAAACCACTGCCTGCAGTACCTGCATCCATATGGGTGTAAGTGTTGGGGCCATCCACATGGGATGAAGCTCCTGGCTTCTGGCTTCAGCCGAGCACAGCCAAGCCACTGAGGCCGTCTGGGGAGTGAACCAGGGGTGGAAGAGCTGTCTGTCTCTTTCTCCTCCCCCACCCCCGTAACTCGGACTTTGGAAACAAATTTTTTAAATCTTTAAAAAAATAAATTCAAATACGATTTACAGGTGGGCTTTGGGATCATCCTGTTCTCAAAGCAATACCTCGAGCCCCACCCGCTCCAGCCTGGCTTCTTGGAAACTGTCCAGCAGTGTGGGGATGCCCTCTGCCATGGTGTGAGCCTGGTGCTGAGGCAGGCGCTTGCCCTGGCCGGTGCTCCCGGGTCGGGCCCAGGGAACGGAACTGCCCTGAGTGAAGTTCGCGGCGCAGGCCTGGTGTCCTCTAAGCAGTGATTGTGGGAGATCCGGCGGCACGCTCTGCTGTTTCTTGGGACGCGTGCGGAGCGTTCTCCAGTTGAGCCCTCTCCTGCTTTTCAGCTGTGCTCTATCACCGCTGGGGACACCTCAGCTTGGCCAAGAAGCACTACGAGATCTCCCTGCAGCTGGAGCCCGGGGCGGCAGGGACCAGGGAGAATTACAGCCTGCTGAGAAGAAAGCTCGCGCAGATGCAGAAGAAGGAGGGCTGAGCTTCGCCCACCACCTGCGCGCGCGTGCGTGTGTGTGTGTGTGTGTGTGTCTGTGAGAGTGTGTATGTGAGTGTATGTGTGAGAGTGAGTGTGTGTGTGTGTGTGTGTTTCAATGCTGTATGCACGAAACATTACCATTACGTGGTTCCGTTCAGCGATGTAAAATCCGAGGCGTGTTGATTTGATTGTGTTTTTTTTTCTATGGAAACAGAGACATGCAAAAAGATTAAGCACCAGCAATATACTCTCAAATGCCTGATACAGTTTTTGCATTGAAATTGTATTTTTTCAGACAACTTCAAGGTACTTCTGAAATTCCAAAAGTTGAATCTTTTTTTTTTTAATTAAAGAAAAAGAGAAGAAAGTAGTTTAACTGACTTTACAATGTGAACCTTGTCCTCTGTATACTGTTAAACCTTGGTCATGACCGAGAAATGACAAACTGACTCCTAGAAGTGTTACGTATGTCTGTATATTAGCATTTTTATTTAATGACAAAACATAAAAATGAGATTTTGCGGGTTTTTTAACTTCTTTTTTTACAATATGAACTTCATTGGTAAGCAGATATTTATTTGTATGTTTATGTGTTGAAACAGGGCAAATAGTTGAACAAAGAAGAGGGCTTTTAACATCTAGCATATTTGTATGCTTCCCCCAATGAAAGAAATCCATCTCTGTCAGCTTCAGTTTAAAGAAGATTATGATGTTTGACACAAACTGTCAGGGTCAGCAGAAAATTCCAGCTATTCTTTAGGCCAGGATGGCAGCCTGACAGCTTGCACTTTTTTCTATATTTGTTGTAAAGAGGGCTACACAAATGTGTAACTTGATTTTTTGTATTTTTAACTACAAGGCACTTTTTTTTTTTTTTTGGCTTACTGGACATTACTTAGAAAATGCAAGGAACCAGTTTTCTCTGGTAAGGAACCACATTTGGGAAATCATTGTTATTTTAAACCTTGAGTTATTTTCCTGTTTCATTTGATCAGAATAAAGCAATGTCTTATTTCGTTCTTGTCTGTGCTATTTATGCAATCTCTGATTTCTTGTGCAGTAAACTTGTTACATAAACTGGCACAAAAATGCCTCATTGCCTTTTTAAAAAATATTTTTATTTGAAAGGCAGATTTACAGAGAGAAAGAAGAAAGGAGAAACCACCTACTGATCCGCTCCCCAAATGGCTGCAGTGGCTGGTTGGGCTGGTCCAAAGCCAGGAACGTGTAGCTTCTTCTGGGTCTCCCACATGAGTGCAGGGGCCCAAGGACCTCAGCCGTCATGCTCTCCCAGGCCACTGGCGGGGGGCTGCAGTGGAAGTGGAGCAGCTGGGACTCATCAGCTCTGCTCATACGCAATACTGGCACTGCAGGCAGAGACTGAACCCGCTACGACAAGGCACCAGCTCCTCTATGCCTTCTTAAAGATGATCTTCAGGTTAGCAAATTGTGTGTCATCATTTTCCTCAAAATGAAGTCCAAATGAGCAGCACATCTTTTCTGGTAATAGGGCTCATTTAACAGATTTATCAGAGTTCAGAGAATGGGGTAACAAGAACCTCATGAAGCAGTCTCCAGACAGCAGCGATCCACGGCCCTCCTGGGGCAGAGGCGGCCTGATGGGTTAGGATCTGCGCTGCTTGGCTTAGTGGTTAACACACGCACTGTATGTTTTGTTGGTTTTTGAAAGCAATTTTTTGTTGTTTGAAACAATGGGTGTCTTTTGAGAGTAAAGAAAAAACAGACATTTCTTGCACCAGCCACTTCAATATCTGCCCTCCCCCTGCCACCCCTAAACCTGTGGTGTCCGATCAAGGCGTGCAGATCTGGAATTCTGGCTGCAGAACCAGTTCCCTGGGCTTCCACCCCGCTCACCTCAGGATTCCCATTGCAGCTTGTTTGTTTGCAGAGAAAGCATCATTAACGCAGTGGCCATTTCAGGAAGGCTTGTATCTGCCGAGCTGGGAAGTGCATCTTGTAGCTCCCCTTGCTTCTGGTTTACTCCATCTTTGGTTTCTTTCCTAACAGGACCAAAGGGAAAAGCTGGCCCTGGCCCACCACTTCTTGGGTTATCTGTTTCAGTGTCTTCGTGACTTGATGAAAGACACACAGCTTTACATGAGTAATGGGGAACAGTGGAGCAAGTGTCACAGGGTGTGAGTCATGACATCCGTGCCCTCCGTCCTGAGTGCCTGCCTTCAGCCCCTGGCTCCCCAGTGGGATACCAGCCTGCACTCCAGACATTAGGGATGTAACCCAAACTCATGGTAGCTCTGTTACATGCTTGCTTGCTCACCTATTTCCCTTGCCTTTTGAATTTTCAAGAAACAGTAGGAGGGAAAAGTCAATGGGGCAGTCACAAGCTCGGGAAATGGGACCATCCTTCCTGAACACCCTGACGGTGAATATGGCCAGAGCCAAAAGGTGGTGAGGGTCTAGCAAGTGCCTGTCCTCCATCTCCTGGTTCCTGTTCGACCTTGTCTTAACACACATGCGCACTCACTGTCATCCCTCCCAGCCTCCTCCAATGGGACAGCCCCCGGCGCCTTGACAGGCTCGTTAGGGCTCCAAAAGTCACACTTCTTTGGCAAGTTCATTCCATCTGATTTCAAATCAGTGACCTAAAATGTTACCCATAGCTGAAGGCTGGACCCTGGCCCCAAGCACTGGACCTTTGTGATCATACTCACATCCAACCAGCTTGGCGTGGGGAGACAGAACCTGCGTTGGATTCTTGGCTCTCACCCTGTGGCCCTCAGGTAAGGTGTTCAGCATTGTTTGAAGCCCAGCTGTTCACCCACAACAGTGCGTGTAAGATCTTCATGGTGGAAAGCTCTCCATGTAAATGGTGGGTTGGGTTTTTGAGAGCTGGCTTATGTTTGGAATGGAGACCTGGCCTTAAATACATGTATTTGCTTGTTCATGTAGTAGTTATCAGGTACCTGTCGTGTGCCACAGACGTCATGGGCATTAGAATTGTGAAGGTGGATGGATGTGCCTAGCTGGGGCCCCGTGCCCATACCAATATTGAGTGGAACAGTCCGGTCCACCCAATATTGATAATAATAGTAATCACCGATTGTCTCAATAGCTGAAGAGAGAGGCCTAATGTGACAAGGATATTTCTGAACTGACATTTGATAGGGAGAAAGCTCTAGATCAGTTGCCTCGGTTGGGAATTGGGCCATGATGTGGCCAGAGGGCAGTGGGATTGCAGAAATGAAAGTGTTAAGGAGTTAATTAGAGAAGAAGAACAAGGAGAAAGAGTTGCTAGAGATCCTCATTCAATTCAGTAAAACCAGGTGGGAGAGTAGAAAAGGGAAGCGAGCTAGCTACGAGAGACAAAGTCATTGAGAAGAAACAGAGGGAAGAAACCGCAAGCAGGTGGAATTTGGCTGCACAAAAAAATGAAACGGAGCACCTGAATTGTACAAGGTTCAGATGACAGCAGAGGCAGACTACCCCTCTCGACCCAAGCCTCCAGCCTTGTGTGTGTGCAGCTGGCCTGGCTGCAGCATTCGCGATACTCCAAGGATGTCAACCTCTTGGAGCCTCAGGTTCAAGTTAGGCAGGTTGTAACGCCAGATGTGGGTATTACTGTGAAGACTAGAGTTAATGTAGTAAAATGCCTACAGTGCACTGGCAAGAAAGTTAAAACAGCCACCTGTGGCCACTGGCTGAGGGATGGCTTACCCAGGGGGGGATGTGCTACAAGCACAACACATAGACTGTTGAAGATTTGGTACCAGAAGATAATATAAGCTCTGTCAGTGATTTTACACTGATTTTTCAATCATATTTTAGATATATCGGGTCAAATACATTATTACAATTAACTTTCCCTGTTTCTTCTATGTGTGGCCAGCAATTCAAGACTACATCTGTGGCTTGCATTTGTAGCTCACTTAGTGTGTGTAATGGGCAGCCTGAGTCTAGATTGGACTAGGCACAAATGGCTGCTAGCCAGCCAACTAATTCATTGTTCATAAAAAGACATGTATTCCATCTCATTATTGCAGTCTAATTAGGCTAATGAGTTTTCTTAATTATTGGATACTATTAGCTCTATATCTCTGTATTTGTCTGAGAGCTAAATGATCTAATCAGACGCCTTTCTGGAAACTGGATTTAGCATAGCCCATGAGGGAGCATCTTCTTTCTGTGAACCAATCAGAGCTAATATATATTCAAAAAATGGAAATGGGAAAATCATCCTACCCTCCCCACTCCCAGTGCAGGATCTGATTGGGGCGAAGACCACAATAGACAGTCAGAATGTGTGTATTTCTAAGTTTAAAGAAATGAGAAGATGTGAGAGGGAAGGGCAGGAGGGAGAAGGGCTCTTGGCTTTCCCTTCCTGATACAAATTTTGTAAATAACCCCTTTCCCACTGTCCTACCATGTGTCATATTTGTCTTTGGCGCACATTTCTAAATGTATTTGTTTATTGGACTGTGTTTCAATGTGTGCTTTAGGTACCTCCCCATCTTTTCCCTGAGATCATGATAGAAATTGCTTTTTGAGAGCTGAGGTTCTGCCTGTTCTCGGGCTGCTTCTGGAAAGCTGCCTTCCTAAAGCTTTGGACCCAGTGCCTTCACAGCTATTTGTGTCTCTCATCCTTGATCCACGCACTCTGACCACGTTGTCCCACAGCTGCTGTTACCCCATTGTACCCACCAGCTTCCAGCTCTTGGTTAGAAACAGGTTGTTCCAGCTATTGATTGCTGCAAAATGAATGATGAGTGTATTTTGTCCATTATAATGGCTAATTCTATGTGTCAACTTGATTGGGCTCTGAGGTGCCCAGAGAGCTGGCCAAGTGTCATTTTCCTAGCTGTGACAGTTATGCTTCTACAAGTTGCACAGTTCCCACAGAGCTCTTCTCCCTTGCAGTGAGAACTGAGTTGGCACAAAGCCCTGGGCCTTGCTCACTCACCCACGTCTGGCAGTTAATATTGGCAGTGACCTTGCTGGGGGCAGATCTGGAATATCAGTACAAGACCACTACATCTGATGTGTCCTGCACAGCCTGAGAGCATGCTTGTTGGACTTCAGATGGCCAAGCACAAGCCGTAGCATCTTTTCTTTCTGACTCAGCTTCAGCAACCACCAAAGTGTCTCCTGCCGTGGTGACAGGTTCTCTCCAAGTCAGAGGCAGGCAGCATCACACTGTAACGGGCAGGGGAAGCAGGACATCTCCTTAGGGCCATCTCGGAAGCGTTTGCCTATGTGTGCCATCAGCGGCACTTACTGTCTACTTCTGGACCTTCCTGTGGGGATTGAAATGCTCAGTAAGAGAAGTCAGCCTTGTCCTGAGCTCTGCACGGGTGATGCAGCTGCAGATGTTCATGCCCTCACACAGCATCCATTCCCCACGCACGCCTGACCAAAGGCAGCACTGACTGCCTGCACCAGCAGGTCAGCTCTCTGCTTTCTGTCCTTCCCTGGGTAGCTACCACATTCAGCAACTTACATCTTCACACCTTCTAGCAAGATGCCTTCCTCCCTGAAACTATCTCTCTCTCTCTCTCTCCCATTACTTTTCAAAGCCAAAGCCCACCTTGAATCACCCTTCACATTTTGCATGGATGACCACAGAGGCAGACCTGCTGGCCAAGGAGCCAGTGTCTGGGAGAAGCAAGGGCAGATTCTTTCCGGGAGAAACCCAGGGAAATGAGCGCCTCCCCTGCTGGGACTGGCTGGTCTGCAGGGCTGTGTGGTCATCCATCTCCAGGGCGTCAGCCCCCTGGTTTGTGGCATCTTGCTGCGGCAATCCAAGAAAACTAACAGATCAAGTAACTTACCCTTTCAGCACTTTCCTTCATCTGTAAAGTGGGAATAAAACTGACTTTTCCACAAACCACTGGAAGGTTTACCTGAGATCCAGGCAGCTCTAGGCCGGTGTGTGGCAAACAGTAACATTCAACCAACAACTGAAGGATAGAAAGCCCTCACTTTCTCATGTTTAATCCTATAATTAAATGTCCCAGAAAAAATCTTAGATCCTATTTGATCA